CACGTGGGTAGACTACACGGGAAGACCACGTGGGTAGACTACACGGGAAGACCGCGTGGGTAGACTACACGGGAAGACCACGTGGGTAGACTACGTGGGTAGACGCCGTGCAGGTAGACGCCACGCGTGGGTAGACCACGCGCGGGTAGACACCACGCGCGTGGTCTACCCACGTGCGGGTAGACACGCCACGTGGGTAGACACCACGCGTGGGTAGACGCCGTGCAGGTAGACGCCACGTGGGTAGACGCCACACGTGGGTAGACACGCCACGTGGGTCCCCTCGGGCCAAACTCGGCCCGCGACTTAATTTCACGCGACGCACAATCGCTTGCAACCACAAGGTGGGGGGGGGGCAGAATCCACAGATGAAAAGGTAACAAAAATGTTGAGAAAAATATTTAAATAAATGTACTCGTTAAAAACGACATGGACCGAGCTGGGTGATTAGCGGCATCTGTGGCTATCGCATCAAGAGCAGCAGCAGCAAGTGGCGCGATAACCTCATTGTGAGTATTGCGCCTTCAAATATATTTGGGTTATTAAACTGTCACTGTGAGGCGTGTCTTCCTCTAAACCCAACGTACGGTGCAACTAAAATAATACATCTATATCGTTATGTATAGTTATAGCCTACGTACTGGTGTAGACGGGGTTGTAAAACATCCGTAGCTATTTCAGTAAAGGAGCTGGGGGGAAACGCGGTCCCACGGTCGTATCCTGCACAGCCACCGCCGTCACGCTCCTGATCACCGTCCCTGGCACCTGCGGAGCCGCAGCGAGCGATCACGCTGCTAGGGGCGAACACTTTCGACCGTCGCAATCTGAATCCTCCGTGATATGAAGAGCGTTCGTGGTGGCTCATCGGATTCCTCCAGAATGAATAGACATTCTGATACGGGGCGGAGGGGTGAGAGATCTCTGTCTTCGTGTGGATGGGCCATTGGTTGTCAGGCCCCAGGCACGGAGACAAACGCAGGCCCCGTGTGAGGGGGGTGCCAGCCGAGGTGACAGAGGTCGCGTGGCCTCAAAGTTGAGCGCAGCCTAAAAGGGGTCAGTTGGGTCTTTGAGCGATCCTGTTTAGCTGCTGCTGCTGTTGTTGTTTTTAGTATTTACTCCGCCTGTTTGACCGAGGAAGGCCTCGCTGAGTCTCGTTTTCAGGAGGGTCCCGCCAAGTAACGATGAGGAGGAAGGAGGTTGCGCTGTGGGTGGAGCGGTGGCGCAGCGGTTAGCGTGCTCGGGCTCTGCTGTGAACTATGAACCCGGCCACCCGAGTTGGATTCCGACCCGCGGCTAATATGATGGTCGAGATATATTTGAACTGGGTCCTCTCTCTCCACCCCCCCCTCCCACCTGCCTTCAACCCAAACTCTTCTCCAGGGTGAAGTATGATCAAACAACCCCACGAACGAGCCAGCAGTGGATGCAAGTAGACACACAGGGACGGTGAACAAAGACTGTCCATTTATTCCTCTGTGTCTTCACGCCAACTCACCCTGGATGGGCGAAGGTGAAGCAGGCGGGAGGCCTGGTGACTCACTCTCCGAGTGGCCACTGAGGCTTGCCAGGTGTTGTAGGTGCAGGGTTCGGGATGCGCGGCCAGGAGGTGGAAGTGCCCGTATAGAGGTGGCTAGGAGATGTTAACGACCTCGCCTGGTAGACAGGAGGTCGTGGGTTCGATCCCGACTCTGACGTCTGCTGTTTATTTGGAGTTTGCGGGTTTCTCTCTCTCATCATCACAGTGGCTAGGAGATGTTAACTACCTCGCCTGGTTAACAGGAGGTCGTGGGTTCGATCTTTACTCTGATGTATGCTGCTGTATATTTGGAGTTTGCGTGTCTCTCTCTCTCTCATCATCATCATCATCACGGTAGCTAGGAGATGTTAACTACCTCGCTCGGTACACAGGAGGTCGTGGGTTCGATCTTGACCCTGACGTCTGCTGTTGTATATTTGGAGTCTGCGGGTTTCTCTCTCTCATCATCATCACGGTGGCTAGGAGATGTTAACGACCTCGCCCATGGTATACCGGAGGTCGTGGGTTCGATCTTAACCCTGACGCCTGCTGCTGTAATATTTGGAGTTTGCGGTGTCTCTCTCCCCGTGGTCGCGTGGATTTTTCTCCAGGTCCTCTCCAGGTTATTTTGTCTCTCCACATTTAGAAACAACATCGCGTTTGGAATGTTTGGCTGCTATAAATGTCCACGCGAGAATAAGCCACTTTCGTTGAGATATCATTTGTGATAACCAGGTCGCTTCTAGAGCTCCATATATAGCCTCAGTGAGCCTTACCTGGTTAAATAAAATTAAAACATACTCTTTGGTTGTTTCGGTAAAGTTACGCAGGTAGAAAAATTAAACAAAATAAAAATAGTCGTGATATTTTATTATTTTTTATTTTGTTTTATTTTTCTACCTACGTGACTTTACCGAAAGAACCAAAGAGTATGGATCCCTGCAGTCACGAAAGCTTCAAATGAAGATTAAAATAAAAACATAATTTCTCAGAGCTCTCCGGTTTCCTTCCACACGAGGCCAAAACGTGTTCATGTCGGCCGAACAACGCAGTGTGGCAGGACCCTCCTGAGCGGAGAGCCTCGAGACTCGAGGAGGCGTTCGACGGCGAGAGATGAACACCGAGAGGCCTGGACAGGGCGCGTGTCTCCGAGGGCGTGCTCCTTGTGGTGTTTCACTTTTGTCCAAGTGAATCGCAGAGCCCTGCTTAGTTCTCAATGGACTTCATCATCAGCATCATCATCTTCTTGTCGTATGGCTGTTGATGGAGATGCAGTGCAACGACTTCACATTCAAGGTGGTCAAGCCACAGACAACCGCGTCAGGAGCAAGCGGAGTCGTGCATCATCATCATCATCGCTGTGATGTCTCCTTCGTTATTTGTGGATCGGGGCATTGCGCCCGTGACACGTGGTACGGTCTGTTCTGGATTGACCGCAGCCACACCGCTTAGAGGAGAGTTGTTATTTATTTTCCATTCGTGCATAATGCGATAACAGTGATGATGCATTTAATCATTCGCAGCCTCTTTGTCAATCTACTGCTGGATGAAGGTCTCCCTCCCCGCGGGGGGTCATTGTGCCATACTTCACCGCACTGGTGACTGCGGGTTGGTGAAGGTGGTTCGGGTAGACTGGGGCGGTGTGAGAGTTGAGGATCAGGACCGGCTCATCATGTACCCATCACTCGCCACGCACGTTAGCCGCGGACGGGACGTGAACTCAGGAATTCCGGTTTCGTTGCGCGGTGCGCGAGACCGCTGAGCGTTTGCTCCCAGAGCTCAGTTCGGTGTCTGAATTCGTTGCTGCAACCCCGTAGCTCTCGCGCTGCGTGCAGACACGGACAAGAGCCGCGTGTACCAACGTGCAGCCCGGCCTGGGTGCATCACCATCACCACCACGGGGAGCGGCGGCGGCGCCGTGGTTAGCGCACTGCGCCGCGAACTCCGGACCACCCGAGTTCGATTCCCGCTCGCGATCAACAACAGTGGCGAGTTATCTCTACCGCTCGCGAGGCCCTGAACTGCGGTGCCCTAGGTCGACTCAAGCTTAATTGAGCACCTGGTGCAATGTGTGTAACAAACAAAATATCGCCACTGGGGGAGAGACAAAGGCGGCCGGGCGGGGTTATTCGCCACCCCCCCCCCGTCGTCGTGGGCCGTGCCGCGCTAGCTTCGTCATAGATTGCTCGCTCACAGCACTTGCCCCAACAGTCTGTTAAAGGCTATACAGTATCGGAGGGGGGAGCGAATCGTTGTCTTGGTATTTCATGGCTTGCGCGCTCAGAACCCAAAGTATGGCTCGGTAACAGACATTAAAAGTGACGCCAACAGCACCCTGGACCTCGGGCCCGGCCATCCCAACCCGCGACAGTCGGCACCGACGACGAGGGAGACTGCGATGCGAACCCCCACGTGGCTCCATCCCCCACCACTATCGCCATGTGCGTCTCTGCTTTGAGCACCACCCCCCTCCCCGCCACCTCGGAATTCTAAAGCTGCGCGCTCCCCCAGAACCCCTCTCCTCCTCCTCATTCTTTGAGCTTTGTCTCTAAAACTGAAGAAAGAAAGAAGGAGCGAGAGGGAGACATTCCTCTCGCTCCCACTCACCATCCTCCGTCTCGGCACCACCCCCCACTCCGCAGGCAGTCATCCCCCACAGCCACCATCACCACTCACCATCCCCCACCATCACAGCCACCATCACCACTCACCATCCTCCATCACAGCCACCATCACCACTCACCATCCTCCTCCACAGTCACCATCACCACTCACCATCCTCCATCACAGCCACCATCACCACTCACCATCACCAATCACCATCCTCCATCACAGCCACCATCACCACTCACCATCACCACTCACTATCCTCCATCACAGCCACTATCACCACTCACCATCACCACTCACAATCCTCCATCACAGCCACTATCACCACTCACCATCACCACAGCCACCATCACCACTCACCATCCCCCACCATCACCACAGCCACCATCCTCCCCCACAGCCACCATCCCCCACCATCACCATCCTCCATCATCCTTTCATCCAGTCACCATCACCATCTCCCATCACCTTCCTCCCACCAGCATCATCTTCCCACGCGACCACCACCACACCTCAACAACATCGCCATCAACCTAACATCATCATCCTTGTACAGTAATTAGTTTATCCGTGTTACCACTCAACTATATAAGTTATAATCACCTTCCCACCACCACCACCACCATCATTCTCCAACCGCGAGCAACAACAACAACAGAACCAAAGACAAAGAACCCCCGTGCAGCCTTAACCGACTGTTGGGGCAAGTGCTGTTAGCGAGGAGCACCGACGAAGACTGCACAACAACACCGCTACCACCAACCACACACACTCATCATCATCCCTCCCAACACAACCACCACCCCCCAGTCTCCCAAGAACAACACCACTACCACTTATTATCCTCCCACCACCACAGTCCCCTCCACCCCCTCCCCCACGCCTCCTCCTCCTCCCTAGCCGCGGGCAGCAGCAGCCAGCATCTCCCCCCGCCCGTGACGCGAGCTCCATCCCCACAGCCCCCTCCAGACGCTCCTCGCCGCTGCTGCCCTCGCGGTGCGCAGCGCGCTTCGCCTCCTCCGCCCGACAACTTCGCAGTGCGCGGGGCGTCTCGGACGACCCCCCAAGCGGAGTTGCTCGCTGGGTCAGGAATCGTCGCGGGGTCCACGCTGCGCAGGCGATTGGAGATCCTCCCGCAGCAGCTACCGCAGCAGCTGCTGTCGGCGAGCGCCTATTAAGGGCCACGCGCGTTGGTGGCGGCGCCGCTGCCGCTGTGGCCCTCCTCCTCCTCCCTCCTCCTCCCTCCCCCAGCCCACAGCAGCAGCAGCAGCCTGCGTTGGTGCCAAGCGGTGGAGTCGAGCGCGGAGCGACCTCCCGACGTGCACGGCTGGCCACGCAGGGCGCGAAGAGAAGTCCTAGGCGGAGCAGGGCGAAGGGGACGCGGCGGGGTGGAGAGAGAGGACCTCTGATGCCGGTGTCCGTGTTGGATTCTGGTGTCTGACATTCTCTCTCCGCTGCTGGCTTCGAGCCATCGTCGTCGTCAGCGATGGATCTGCTGCTGCTGCTGCTGGGCTCCGCGTGGCTGTGCGCCGAGGCGGCTCCCGTCTCCGAGGAGCCGTGCTCGTGGACGGGCAGGTGAGCATCGCAATCCGTGGTGATGGAGGCGGTGGTTGTGGTGATGGTGGTGGTGATGGTGGTGGTGATGGTGGTGGTGGTGATGGTGGTGGTGATGAATGGTGGTGATGGTGCTGGTGATGATGATGATGATGGTGGTGGTGGTGATGGTGGTGATGATGATGAATGGTGGTGATGGTGGTGATGATGAATGGTGGTGGTGATGATGAATGGTGGTGGTGATGATGAATGGTGGTGGTGATGATGAATGGTGGTGGTTGGTGATGGATGGTGATGGTGATGGCGGTGGTGGTGATGGTGGTGTCGCATGAAGAGGCATAGCAGCGGGAGAGTTTTATTCACAACGCAAGTCGTGGTTTATTCACAACGCAAGTCGTGGTATAGTTACAACACCAAGTCGTGGTTTATTCACAATACAAGTCGTGGTATATTCACAACGCCAAGTCGTGGTTTATTCACAACGCCAAGTCGTGGTTTATTCACAACGCAAGTCGTGGTATATTCAGCCGGAGAGCTGAGGAGTGAATCTCAGAGATGTAATGGGTCGACAGCGGAGAGTTGTCCACTGCTAGATGGCCCCTCGTGTGAAGCTGCTCACCCACACTGGCACTTTGGAGTATCCGTGAAGCTCCGTGTTGGGTGCGTGGGCTATCCGCAGCCTGTGTGTGATCATGATGTTGATGTTGCTGATGTTGTTGATGTTCTGACGCTTGGGTGACTTGCGTCTCTGACCGTGGGGATGTCGATGGATGACTTCTAAACTAAACTAATAAACTGATTTATAGTTTACCACTTAAGGCCCACTGAGCCACGTAGCTCTTTATCAGACGCGACTCTGGCCATGAGTGACAGCTGAACGAAGTGTCTCCTCAATAGTGAGTGAAGTGTGTCCTCGTCTAAACGCGTGGACATTGATGGCAGCCAGAGACGCTAAACGCGTGACGGTGTTTCTGAATGAGGACGCGACAACGGGAAGAGAGACACCGCAAGCTGTAAATAAACAGCAGGGCGAGGTAGTTAACACATCGCCACCGTTCTGTGCCCGGGGTGCTTGCGTCAGTGACGGTGAGCACGAGGTGTGATGGGCTGTGACAACTTAGCTCGCCTAGGTCCTAGCGCATCATCCCCATAGCACAAGGCACGGGGAGACGGGGAGAGAGACGAGAGAGAGACGAGAGAGATACGTGAAGACACAGGGAGGGATGGCGAGCCACGTAGAGATAGACACGGTCACAGAGAGACATGAGGAGGATGAGACGAGGAGATATCCCGGACAGCCCCGCCAGGTTCCTGTGGGGGGCTGTGGCCGGGCCCCCCATTTAAGGCCCCCGCCGTGGTTGAGGCTGAAGGCTCCACGCCTTCCACGAAGCCGCGAGGGAGAGACAGGACTGGAGTCAGAATCTTCTTCATTTGAGCTCGAGGCACCCGATGTGCTATAAAGCTCCACAGACGTGCGGGAGTTCTCGCAGACTTTCCCAATCGCGACGTCCCGGGCCGGCCTCGGCTGGGGTCGGGCAGGATCCGCGGGTCCGGGACGCCGCTATTTGGGGCCAAGTTGTGTTGAGTTTATGGGACGGAGGGCGAGTCGCGGTTTGCACCCGTCCTGTTCACTTCTTTAACGACAGGGTTTGCAGTTCACTTAATTCCGATACGTGTCGTGTGTGGGTATGAGCAAGTGTATGTGGGTATGTGTTTGTAGGATATGTGTGTGTATGTGTGGATGAGTGTGTGTCAGGGTGAGTGTGTGTGGGTATGTGTGTGTGGGTATGTGTGTGTGGGTATGTGTGTGTATGTGTGGATGAGTGTGTGTGAGTACGTGTGTGTGTGGGTATGTGTGTGTATGTGCGGATGAGTGTGTGTGGGTATGAGCGAGTGTATGTGGGTATGCGTGTGTGTAGGGTGTGTGTGTAGGGTATGTGTGTGTGTATGTGTCTATGAGTGTGTGTGGGGGAGCGGGAGTGCAGTGGTTAGCGCTACGCGCTACGAACCTGGCAACCCGCGTTCAATTCCTGCTCACGGCCAACACCCGGGCCTCCCCCTAGGTCGACTCAGCCTTCAAATGAGTACCTGGTGTGATGTGTAAACATCGTCACCTGGGAAACAAAGGCGGTCGGGCGTGGTTCAGGCCACCCATCCCCTTGTGTACCGTGCCGGCCTTCACAGGTGCTCGCTAACAGCACTTTCCCCTATAGTCTGTGAAGGCTACATGGGGGATCTTTGTTTCGAGTGTGCGTGAGAGAGCTATGAGGGCGACTTTGTCTACTGCTGTGTCTTCTGTACACGGGCCGGCCACCTTCTGCTGTAATTTCAGAGATTAGTTGGAGCTTACAAACATAACAATCATTCACTGTTTTATTGTATGACTCTTTGTCAGGAAGTGGCCTACATTCGGGTTTTTATTTTAAGATGTTTTCAAGTAATTACTGACGAGTGTTCATGATACGTGTGGGAGGAAACCGGAGCGCCCGGAGAAAACCCAGGCGCACGAGGGGGAAATGCTCGATCCCCGTACAGATGGAAACGGATGGGAAAATAGTCTGCTTGCTGTTCCGCCTTCTCCTGGCGGGCCAGGGTACGGCACCTCCTCGTTGCACACGGGAACGGAGTTTTGCAACCGTCGTGCGGTAAACCGCCAACCCTCGCTGCTGCCTCCACAGTGCTGGATTGACAGCCCTCCTGCGGAGACAACCACCCAACACAATGGCAACTTTGTCTCTCTGCCTTTGTACCCGAACACTCATCGTAATCCTCACGATTTAAGACGCCCTCAAGCGAATTGCAGGCCCCGAGTACACGTTTCAGATTTGAGGCTCCTGGCACGATCCCGTCCCTGCCGAGTGTAACGTCACTTTCCTCTCCCCGCATCTCATTGCCCAATTTGCATTCCGCTTTGTTGCAATGCCACAGCATCGAGTCCTGTAAATGAGCAGAAACCCACGACACTGTCACGGAACAATCGGCGCAGTGCGTCCCGGGAAAAACCCCCACGAGATTCGAACGTGTTCAGGAATGCACTCGACAACAACAACAACAACCATCAACAGTTCCCGAAGAGCTGCATCGTGGAGGAAATCGACGCCGTGCGGCGAGAGGAAGAGGCGGCACTTGTGGAGCTCCGAGCAGCGAGCGTTACACCACCCCCCCCGTTGCCAGAGATCGGCCACGGAAGTGGCCGTCGCAGACCTACGTCTGAGGGTCGCTTTGTGCCCTGCAGAGAGAGAGCGTTGGCTGGCATGGGCGCTCCTCAATCATCACCCCCCCTCCGCCCCCCTCTGTCAAATGTCCACCGCCCCCCCCCTCTCTTCGTAGCCCCCTCCTGAGCCCCCTCTGGCCCATGGGCCTCGGTGGTGCAGCGGCTGCACGGACTTGAGCCGAATTCAGCGCCGAGCCAAATGTCACGCGATGGGACGCCTCCGCGTGGTCGTCATTGGTGCCTGGGCTGAGACAAACTGCCTGGCGACGACGCCGCCGCCACCGCCCATGCTGCTGCTGCGTTGGCAGCGGTGCACGGGCACAAAAAACAACAACAACAACAACAACTGGACACGTTCACCAATGAACGACACCGCGTGCGTGCATGCGTGGACCCTAAAGGAAAGCGAATACAACCGGTGACGATTTGGGCTGTGAGCCTTCCTCGTGGCACTGCGTTTGAGAAGTAGGTTTAATTAGTAGTTTAATTAGTAGGTTTCATTCATTCTAAGTAGGTTTAATTGTGGGAAGCTGAATCTCAGATTGGAACCGAGCGAGAACTCAGAAGTGTCAGCTCTGTGTCGATGGCTCCTGAGCCACTGGTAACCACCTCATCGCCACCCAGCACCTCATCGCCACCCAGCACATCATCGCCACCCAGCACCTCATCGCCACCCAGCACCTCATCGCCTCCGGTGACCTCATCGCCACCACTGACCTCATTGCCTCCGGTGACCTCATCGCCTCCGGTGACCTCATCGCCACCACTGACCTCACCGCCACCGTTGACCTCATCACCACCGGTGACCTCATCGCCACCACTGACCTCATCGCGTCCGGTGACCTCATCGCCTCCGGTGACCTCATCGCCACTCATTCTGCGATGGGTCCCAGCCCTCCTGCTCTCGACGTAGCGTGCACATCGCCTCGCTGCGTGGAGCAGGCAGGGGGTGCCTTGGCCTCCCCCCTGGTGGCCAAAGCTACGAGTTTGACAACCACCATGAGATTTGTTTTCCACAACAGTGTACAAGAACTTATTTAAAACGGAGCGCCCCGACGGAGTTGAATGTTCGAGACCGTGAGCGTGACAAGAGGAGCCGCGATACATAATAGCCTACGGTGCGACCGTGCGAGACGAATCAAATATTGGGGCCCCCACCTGACTGATTGCCACACACCCTGAGCTGATAATGTAGTCATTACGCCACTGGTTGTAAGACATGATAATTTCAATGCAGTTCTACAGGAGCTAGTGGTTTCCTGCGCAAGGCCGAGAGCTGCTCGCGCACACGCAGAGCACGGGGTATGCGAGTCGTCGTCGTCGTGTTTCCGCCCTGCGCTGCGATGAGTTTTTCTCGGCAACTCGCATATTGGAACCCCTTGACCTGTGCAGCGGGAGGTCCCGTCGAGTGCGCTACCAGTGGCGTGGCGCTCGATCGTGCAGGTGGTGCAGCTGCTGCACCACGGGGGTCCTCGTGCCAGAGGGGGCCCAGGAATGGGCTACGAAGAGGGGGGCGGGTGGTGGGCATTTCACAAGGCGGGAGAGGAGGAGGGAGGGGGGGTGATGATTGAGGAGCGCCAATGCCAGCCAATTCCTCGATGAGTTTTTTTATTGCTTTGCAATTGGGAGTAAACCGGAGACCCCAGAGGGCGCCCAGAGGGCAGCAGGGGGACATCGCCCAGAATCCACGCGGACGAGTCAGGTGGCTGCTGCTGCTGCTGCTGCCCGTAATCCAGTGCCGTGGAGCCAACAGTCGGTGGCTCACCGCATGCGGGGACGCTCTGACCCGCCCTGACTGGACATCTGTGAAAAAGAGCTTGATAGCTCATCGGATTCCTCCAATGTAAATAAATATCATTCCCATTCTGAAATGCTGTGAAACTCTCCTTCCTGTGGGCATCAAGGGAGGCGCCATACCCCGGCTCGCCAAGAGAAACCGGCACAGCAAGCGTGGAGTCCACCTGTCCCTTCTATATGGGATTGAGCGTTGCCCCCTCGCATGCGTGGATATTCACCGGGTGCTCCGGTTTCCTCCCACATGTAAACGCTGAGTTATTGGCCGACAACTCCTTTATACATGGAGGGCCGCAGAGCTTGGGCAATTGGCTGCCGCCTTTTGCTTGCCTGTGATTCCTCGCGTCTCTGAGTCGTTCTCTCTCTGCGAGAGTGACGACTGTGCGGCCGCACGTTGCAAGTAGAAATTATTGTTTATAATTATTGATCAAGAGTGGCTGTCCGGAGTCTGACCCACGCTCTCGGCAGTGTCGGTTCGGGGACCCGACTCAGTGCGTTTACATTCTGTGCCACGTGTCTCCACCCCCGCCCGCACCCTGACATCAAAAGACAAAGATCTCCCCGTGTAACCTTAACAGACTGTTGAGGCAAGTGCTGTTAGCAAGCAGCACCCGCGAAGGCCGGCACGGCACTCGAGGGGGTCGTGGGTTGCCACTCGCGGCTCTCCCTGCAAGAGCGAGCGAGCATGACGCGCGCACATCCGCAAGTCGACATCGTCATTATCGGAAGTTCCTTCCGATAATGACGATGTCGTCTTGTAGATGTGCCCACACCGGAGACTCCTGCCGACGATCGGCCCGGGGGATCCGAACTCGTCGACCCGGCGGTCCGGAGCGGGACCGCCGCTCCCCCGCGCCGCCGAGGTTTCTGGGGAGGCGGCAGCTCGGCGCTCTGGCCCGAGCCCCCGCGCGACCCCGCTCTCCTCCGCCGTCTCTCCGTCGCCTCTCCGTCGCCGTGTTTACCAATATCCCCCCATTCAGATGCAAATGTGGGCAGTGACGCGTCGCCTGGCTCCTTTCACTGGCCGCCCTTTCTCCCCCGAAACCGCGCAACCCGCACTTTCCCACCGAGCACCACACGGCTCCTGCATTAATTACGTCTCATAAAGGAGCGCTTACAAGAGCCCTTCGTTTCTCTTTACCCTTCGCCACCCCCCCCCACCCCCTCCGTGCCCCCACCATTTGACGGTCGCGGTCGCATCCCCGTGAGAACGGATTCGCAATCGCGACCCCCTGGTTTAGGGAATGTTGGTGACGAGGACCAGGCGCGGATTGGGCCACATGGTGTCGATTTTGTTTTTAACTTTTTTTTTTAACTTTGATTACACCCCCCGTGCTCGCTCCCCAATGAAGCTCGGGCTCAGGTTTGAGCAGCGAAACGTCACCGCGTGCGTACTCTCCGATGGCGAATTTGCAACCGCGAAGAGTCTCCAGCTGCCGCCCGCTGAGGAGAGGAGCTTTGTCAGTCGGAATTTCGATGAATCTGTGGGGCACGCCAAAGCAGGACAGTCCCGCCGGGCGGTGGAGTGTTCACCACGAGACTCTTGGGTCTATCGCTACGGTGTGGCCCCAACGCCCGGAAACAAACGTGGACCATTGATTATTTTTTGAGACGCCAAGAATTGAGTGTTCTAAGTTATGGAATTTGCTCAAACACGCCAAGTGCGGAAGGGCCCTCTGTAAGGCGAGCCTTGAGACTCGGTAAAAGGCGTTTTCTTGAATAACTTAACTGGCATGACAGCTCGACCCGGAAGAAGGCCCCGTCGCCCGAGTTTATCGTCTGCCTGCGACTGCGGTGGTGCTGCAGCGATAGTGTGCAGGCGGTGCAACTGCACTGGGACACAGCCGCGTCTGTCCCGGTGCAGTTGCACACCCAGAGGGGCCCAGGCTGTGGGGTACAAAGAGGTGGGGGAAACTGTCGGGGAGGGGGGCATTAAATTCCCTGCACCAGGACCCACGCCCCCCGGTCACCCTGCGCAACTCTCCTGCCGCGTCGATCCGCGCCTCTTGTTGTAGGGCAGCGGTGAACGTGGCTCAATGCGTGCGTCACCTCCGGGAGGGGGGGTGGGGGGGGGGGGCAGTGCATAACCTGTTGAATAACGGACGGCATCCACGTGTGTGTGCTATGGGGAGCGGCAGTGCACCGGTTAGCGCACTGCGCTACGAACCCGGCGACCCGAGTTCGATTGCCGCTCACGGCCAACACCGGTGGCGATTATTTGAACCGGTCCCGGGCCTCCCCTAGGCCGACTCGGCTTCAATTGAGTACCTGGTGCGGCGTGTAAAATCATCGCCACTGGGGAGACAAAGGCGGTCAGGCGTGGCGCTGGCCACCCACCCCCTCGTGTGCTGTGCCGGCATTCAACAGCAGTCTGTTAAGCCGACACGGGGGATCTTTGTCTTTTGCGTGTGGCGCAGCGGGCTCTCCCAGAATCCACGCTCCGTCTCGCAGATCTACCTGCACTGCACCCAGGGCTCCGTGGACTGGCTCTACCCGCAGGGAGCCCTGCAGATCCAGCTACCCGTGCCCCCGCCGCCTTCCCCGGCGGCGACGGCGCCGGCGACGGCGCCGGGCGACCCGGGCGCCGGCGAGGCGTCGCTGTGCGCGCGGGCGGCGCGAGGCTCCCGCGGCGCCAGCGTGTTCGCCGAGCGGCCCTGGGGCCTGGAGCTGCTGCTGGCGGAGGCGGAGGCCCCGGGGAGGGTGCGCTGCACGCCGCTGCCCCTGGGCCGGATCTACGTGCAGGCGGCGCCGCAGGCCGACATCAGCCGCCACGTCGCGCGCTTCCGCTTCGAGCTGCGCGCCGCCGGAGACGCCAACGGCGTGGACGCCGGGCGCGGTGAGCGGCGGTGGAGGGCGGGGGGGTGGTGGGGGAGGGGAGTGGCGGGGGAGCGGCGGGGGGGGGGGGGGGGCCCACGTGTGTCCTGGGGAGCGAGAGAGTTGGGACAAAGGCACGGCACGTCCCAATGCCGGTCCCCCCCCACGCTTCAGCGTCACGGTGCAGGTCGGCAGGGTCGTTGGGTCTCAGCCGTTGGGCCCAATCGTGATGACCAAAAGTATTAAAAGTAATCTTGAACTGTTTTTATTTTGACCAGGTAAGGCCCACTGAGCTTACACAGCTTTTTGTCAGAAGCGACCTGGCCACAAATTATAGCTCGACTAAGTGGCTTATCATGTGGACATGTATAGCAGACAAATACTTTCAACGTGTTTAAAAATGTAGAGGTAAAAACCTGAGGACCCAGAGAAAAATCCACACGACCATAAGGAAAACATGCAAACTCCAAATATACAGGGTTGGGATTGAACCCACGACCTCCTGTATACCAGGCGAGGTAGTTAACATCTCATAGCCACCGTGATGATTATGAGAGAGACACAAACTCTAAATATACAGCAGGCATTGTCAGGGTCGGTATTGAACCCACGACCTCCCGTATTGTATAGCAGGCGAGGTGGTTAACATCTCGCCACTGTGGTGCCCAGTCCACCCGATACCATCACGTTTCGGAGGTTGAGTCGAGTGCGATTGCTACCTGGATGGGAGACTGCCGGTGAATGTCGCAGCTCTTTGTAGGCATCGGCTGCGAGGTGACCAGAAGGTGACAGTCCACCGATGAATGACTCAACTCTCCGTTCATACCAGTGAGTGGTCACCTCCTCGTATTAGCGCTCGAGTTTGTCTCCAAGTTCTCGGGTTTCCTCCCACAAAAAGCCAAACAGATATTATTATTAATTATGAACAGATTTCGCCATCGCTCACGGTCCCGCGATGTACGTATGCATTTTTAACTTCTTTCACTCCCCGTACTTAGCCAACCGTGCTAATCGGAGGTACGGTGCCGAAATCCGTCCTACTTCCCCGCACAGGCGCCGATCTCGTCGCTCCGTCGCCCCGCCGGTCCCGTCCGTGGGCCAACAAAAATCCCCTCCAGCCGTGGTGTTTTTGCCCTCCCAAGCCCCACTTACTTTCCATTAATAGTCGTGACAAAGATGTCACGGCTGTCATTACCGCCCTTTAATTGTGCCCCATCATTTTATAATTTTGGATTGAGGTCATTCACACTCTGCTGCACTCAGCCCCGCGACGCCTCGCAGCCTCTGCACAAAAACGGAAGCTGCTGCTCACGTCCCCGGGTTTGTGGTGAACCTCCGCCGTTTTTGAACCGTCGTTTTATCCAGGTCGGCGCGAGACCGACGTGCAACATCTACCGGGGTTACCCCCGTTGCACGACGGAGAGCACGCATCCTCCAGACGTGGGATTTTTACCGAGTAAATATACTCGCGCTCGGGAAGCAACGAATGCATTCGGTGAGACCGCTCGTGAGCGCAAAAGCATCTCCCCGGGACGGCGACATCACCTGGCCCTGAGCCAGAATCGGCAATGCCTCTGGGTTTTCGGCCGCTCGAGTGGCCTCGATGGCAGTACTCCACCACTTCCCCCCCACTCACTATGCCAACGTCCTCCCTCAGCCTCGCACTGCCCCAGCAAAGTTATTTCTAAAGTTATAAAGCACCCGCAAAACGAGATCACATCACTGTGATCCTCCGATCCCTCCACCGGCCCCCAATCCAATCAACTTCAAAGATCGCAGCACTCGCTAGATTTCGATACCCTCCATGGACTGGTCCCAGCCTACCTCTCCCCTCCTATCTCACTCCGTACACTCTCCTCCCTCTCCCCTCCCGTCTCACTCTACTTCCCTCCCCTCCACGCATTCTCGGCTCCAGCCTAAGTTGAATTAATCTCTGGACACGCCGTACCTCGCTGCCAGCGATACGTTCACAGCATGGCCAAGCTTTCAGTCTCGGCGCTGCCACGGTCTCGCCACGAGCCACACCGCCGCCTCCACCACATCAACAGCAACAACAACAACAGCAAAAGAATCTCGCCGCATTTGCATAGACGGCACGGCAACACTCGGGTGGGTGGGGACGCGGCCGCAGTGTGGCTCCCGCGGTGGCCGCCCTGGCGGCTGCCCTTCACGGACACCAAACGTGTCCCGCCTGTGACGTCGCCACGTGCACACCGTGGCGGGGGGGCGGCGGCCTCGCCTCGCAGTCACGAGGGTGCAAATTTCAAATCCCGTTCGAGGCGAGGGCCTCAACGACGAGAGCAATGTTGCCGCGGGCTATCTCCGAGCGACGTCACCTTCTCTGGCCGACGCCCGCCGCTCGCCCACCTGAGGCCGTCGCTCGGCCTTCTGTTAGCTCGTCCGCCCACGCCAGCAGCCCGCGGCCATCACTCGCCGCAGCTCTCTTCCCCGGTACATAAACTGGTTTTTCCCCACTTTCCCACCACCAACCCCCCCCTTAGTCCCCTCCGCTCATCAGTAATGCCTCTGAAGCTGTCGCCGATGGCACGCCGCGCATGGCGCTCCGCTGCCTCGGAGGTGAAAAACACCGATTCGGGTCTCCCGTGATAAATCCTCGCAGTGATCCAGCGCAAGTGACAGTTGCGACGTTTTGTCTCTCAAAGCGAGCGGGGGGGAGGGGCGGGGGGTGAAACGGATAGAAAAAGAGGGCGCTTATTTTTCACCGCCTCCCGACGTCTCGGGTGAAACGGGCCGAGGTAAATTAGCGTGTCGCTCACGAGAAGTCAAAATGTTTTGAGGACGGCACAATGGAGACCCCCGGCCACCTTCCGCGGCGTCGTCACTGCACGGCCCCCCCCCCCCCACTCCCTCTCCGACGGCTCCTCCGGGGCCTGAGCCGGGGCCTCGCAAATAATCGGCGAGTCGACAGCGGAGCCGGAGCGCTCCCAGACAATAGCGGGCACTCGCCGTTTTGACTCGGATTATTATTTTTTCGCACTGCCTACTGACACACACACTGCGCTTTTGCGAATGCCTTCGTGAAGGCCGTTGTAACCCACATCTGCTCATGGGAGGTATTCACGTGCCAGCTGTTGAATATTTCACTGCCAGCGTGGTGCACAGCACCGCCTCCAAACCGTCACTGGTATTCCGATGTTGCTTTTGCGCTGGCACGAGAGCGGCTCTCTGAGCGGACGAAATATTGCGTCGATCAAAAAGAGAAGGGAGCGACACCCCCCCCACTTTGCGCCTCGCGAACGCTCGCACGCCTCCGACGCAGTGATCTCTGCCCTAATTGTTCTTTTTTGCCCGCCGTGTATTTTTCAGACGAGTGCCGGCCCTGCACGGACGCCGAGATCCTGCGGTCGGCTTGCAGCAGCGACTTTGGTGAGCGCATCCCCCGCCCCCCCCCCCACACCACCACTCTCACGATCCGCCACGAGCGTCGCTCGAAATCTTTTCTGTCCAGCACGCGATAAATTATTTTATCCTTTTATTAATATAAAACAAACAATCCACGTTCCTATGATGGGAAAAAAAAAATAATTATGATGTCTTGATAACATTGGTGTACATTGTACATTTTGTGAAGTGTTATTTTATTTGTTTAGGCCATATCTTAAACCAGGCTTTTTAGCCCTTTCCCATTCCGAGACGTCCGCGAATCGCAGGGCGGGGTCCCGTTCACCGCTGAATCTCGGGACGCACGAGCAGCTCGGCGTTTTTTTTTTATTTAGAGAGGCGTAGCCGCCGCGCCATTGTTTTTAACGTCATTGTTACTCACCGCGGGCAGCTGTAGCGACACGACCGCAGCACTCTACGATAGCTGGCGCAAAAACTGTGCCACATGCCCTCCTGCACGGCCTTGTGGGAGCCTCGGTACCAATAAAGTTATTTTATTTGGTGTTTAATTGCCAAGTGGGGCAGCCACGATGGCGAGTTGTTAACTGCTTTGCCTGGTATACAGGAGGTCACGTGGATTTTTCTCCGGATCCTCCAGTTATTCCCTCCACATTTAGAAACGTGACATTGGAGTCAAGGAGCATTAACCAGCACGGTTGGCTACGTTTGAGCTCTCATCTGTGGCTAGGTCGCTTCTGAAAAAGAGCGACGTATGGCATCAGTGGGCCTTATTTTGTAAAATAAAAAAACATGGTTTTGTTCAGAATCGCAAGTCACCATCCTGCGTTCTCACCTGTGGTTCTCCCTCGGCGGGGTTCTTTAATGTCCTAACCCCTGCTGGCTCCCTCCCTCTCGCAGAGCGAGCGCGAGGGAGCGGAGGCTGGGGGAGGATTTGTGGCAGGAGCCTCTTGATTGCTCCCCGAAGCGCCACTATGACCCCCTCCCCCCTCCCGACCTTTGAAGGTCACGGCGATGCGCGCCGAACGTGTGGGAAAGTGCCGGCCGCTCGTCCGCCGTCGCTCCGGGACTGGTGGGGGGAGGTGGGGGGGGAGGTGGCTGGGGGGGGGAGTCCGTTCCTCTCTTTCTCTCGCGCGCTCACACGCTCCAAAACGCGCGAGCAAGTCAGGAGTTACACTGGACAGGCCGACAGCAACCTTGGCGCTTCACAAAAAGCGCGCTTCGAAAAACGCGCTTCAAAAATCGCGCTCCGCAGGGGCCAAATCGTCGATGCGTTTTGAGTCGAGCGCAATGGTAGGGTGGGGGGGGGGGTTGAAAGCATTTGAAAGTATTTAGCGCTCAGCAGCCCGATAAGCACAAGCCGTTCAGACCTGTGATATAATTCGAGGCACTAAATATAACTCGGCGGTGGGGGGCCGGTAATAGAGAGAGCTTTCAGCGCAGTTAACGATTGCCGTGCTGTTTTCACTGCCGACGATAATTTGCCCGCGGTGGCCGGAGGGAGGTGGCGACGTGGGGAGGAAAGGAGGGCGGGGGGGGGGGGTGGAGGTGGAGGGGTACGGAGAGAACCGTCTCCCGTCCCGCGCCGCCGAAACTATTCTCGGGCCCCAAACGAGAGGAGGCGATGACAGTGAGGAGTAGAAGGGGGGGGGGGGGGGCGTGCATTGTGGTGGATCGGGCATGGAGCCAGTTGACTCGCAGGGAGCAGGCTGTCCGCAGTGTTGGCCGCGTTCTTTCCCCCTGGGGCCCAACACCTGGGCCTCGCCCCTCTAATTTGCTGGGGTTTTTTTTTGCTTGCTCGACATGTCATCAGTCATTTTCTGTGTTTTTCTTCTTCTTCGATATATATATTTTTAAACTCCTTTTTACAAAGGGTCAACGAGACAGTTTTGGACGATTATCTGTCAGGTTGAGATGTGAGTAAGAGAGCAGAGGTCACTTATTCCAAAAATATAATTCCCACCTTCAGTGGGGGGCCTCCACGTGAGCCACACGGGAGCTGCGTTCGACGATGGCGACGACGATGACGACGACGATGACGATAACACGTTGAGTAATGAACGGGGTTGTTTAGAGTTCACGCCCCCTCCCCCTAGCAGTGAATTGAATTGTCCAGATTCAGGGCCGCGGTTTGATTCGAGAATCAATGATCTGTTTAGCAGCGTAATGAACGTAGCCCCTCTCGTGGCTGCACAAGGGCTGCACGAGCCTATTGCGCGCGACAAACGTGAACACAATACCAATGTTAACACGCACGTATCGTGGCCATAAGGATGGATTCTAAGCGATGAATTCATGCGTCATTGCGTGCCTCATCATGTTAATGATCACGATGGAGTTTAGTGATGACGATGACGAAGACGGTACGAGCGATGATGTCGCATTGAGAGGCATAGCAGCGGGAGAGTTTATTCCAGCCGGAGAGAGCTGCGGAGTGAATCTCAGAGATGTAATGGGTCGGCAGCGGAGAGTTGTCCACTGCTAGATGGCCCCTCGTGTGGAGCTGCTCGCCCACATTGGCACTTTGGAGTGTCCGTGAGGCTCCGTGTTGAGTGCGTGGGCTATCCGCAGCCTCCTCTGTGTGATCATGATGTTGATGACGAAGTTCTGATGATATTAAAGTCGTGAAAGAGTTGCTTCTCTGGCTGGGGGGGGGGGGGTCAAAGGACGAAATTCTGCCTGCAGAATCCATGTGAAGATCACGTTGATGACGAGGATTATTGAAGCTGTTGATGATGGCTGTCACGGCAACAGTAATGATGACAATAATGATTATTGAAGCTATTGATGACGATTATTTAAACTGTTGTTGATGGCTGTCACGGCAATGCCAATGATGACGATGAGGACGATGACGACGGTGGTATTGTCCATCTCACCGGCAGTGATCGGGGGCCACATCCAGAGCGTGCACCCGGACCGCGACGCCGACGAGGCCGTCATCGCCGTGCGGGTGGCGCGCGTCTACCGGCACCGGGGGGACGTCGACCACCGCCTCCGCCGTCTCCTCCTCCCCCCCCCCGCCGGAGATCTCGGCGTCGGCAACGCGACCGGCGCCCGGGAGCCGCCGCCGCCGCTGCTGCTGGTGCGGACCCCGCTGCGCTGCGGGGCGCGAGCCGGCCGCGGCGAGTTCCTGCTCGCCGGCTCGCTGCACTTCGGCCGGCCGCGGCTCGACTGCGCGCCGCGCCTCCCCGACTTCCGCCGAGCGTACGAGCGCGCCGCCGGCGCCGGCCCCTGCGAGATCGACGTCGGCTAGGACCCGCGGCGCCGCCGCCGCCGCCGTCGCCGCCGTCGCCCCCCTCCTCCTCGTAATCGTCCGCCCCGCGCGGTTTTGTTGAGCGGCCGACCGGAGCGCCTCACCCCCTCGTCTCCTGCTGGGGAGTCGCCGCCGACGCCGAGACGCTGCCCGCCCCCCCGGTGGACGCTGCCCGCCCCCCCGGTGGACGCTGCCCATGCGGAACCGTTGGGTGCTCGCGAGCCGCGGTGCGCGTGCCGCACGACGTGGCGAGCAATCGCCGACTCGCCGTACGGAGTTTGCCATCGACAAAGTTCGCGATGGGTTTGGCGTCTCCTGTGTGTGTGTGTGTATATATCCGGGCTACGGCTCCAGCAGGAAACGTGAACGCTTCCCGGCAAAGAGACACCGTTTGTAGCGAACAAGACAGAATAACAGGATTGTGCCATTAATGGGAATGTGGAATTTTCCGCGATTGGCCAGGGACCATCAGTGGACACAAGCAAGCATCGCCCAACATCCGATTTAACACTGCGCCTCTCACTTTATTTTGCATTGTGAACAGTACGGTCAGCATTGGGACTGCCGATGCAACTTTCTTCGTGAACAAAAGCAACTCGCGTCTTCTTGGCATTCAATATAAACGAGACTGCAAGCCGCTGCTGCTACCGCCGCCGCCAACTATGATTGAGCCACATGCGATGAGCATCGTGCAAACAACTCGGGCGATGGAGAGGGCGCGCCCTGCACGACGGTTTGCGGTCATCGCCAGCTCAGCCCCGAGGTGGAAAGTAGCTCAAAGGAGAGGGCGAATTCGTTGGAGGGCGGTGGGGGGGGTGAAAGGGAGGTGGGGGGGGGGCACCCACGGGAGTAGCTGTGGGGAGCGATGGGGTTTTTATAGCGCGCGAAGGGCTCCTAAAGAACGCGCTGTGCCCGTGCTCGCAGCTGACATTTTTGAGCGAATGGAGAAATCGGAATCGAGCGACAGCTTTTCCAAGAAGAGCGCCGTGATTATTGTGTTTTGGCTATATATTTTTTTTTATTTACAGGGGTGACCCGGGCTGCGGCTGCGGCGGCGGTTACGGCGTCTTAAAGTTTCGCAAAACCTGCTCGGCAGCATAATGGAGCAATGCACAAAAAGAAAAATGCCATGAAAGCTTCGACGGCATTAATAACTGACAAACGATAGAGGAGTTTAATGGGGAATCTGAAACATAAAACTCAATAATTGGGCCACGATTTTCAATGGTCTGTCAATCAATGTGCGTTGGTGAATGTAAAAAATGTGGTACAACTCTTGAGAATCGAGGCGGCACCACGGGACTTGTGTCACGAGTGCTGGCGGTGCAGACAATGACGATGATGACGATGACGATGATGACAGCGATGATAGTAAAACGTCCCCCCCCGCCTCCCCCCAGCAGCGAATTTAATTGCCCAGATGCAGGGTCGCGGTTTGATTCGAGAATCAATAATGTGTTTAACAGCGTAATGAACGTAGCCTCTCCAGTGACTGCAAGGGTCCCACGAGCCGATCACACGCAAAAATATATTAATGCAAAATACCCAATATCAAACAGGCACAGTCATACGCATGTATAATGACCATAACAATCGATTTTGATCTATGAATTAATGCGTCGTTGCATGCCTAGTCGTGATGACGACGAACAATAGTGATGATGATGATGAAGGTGGTAGCGGTGATGATGTCGTATGTAGAGCAGGACGTTACATTAACAAGTCTTCAGAATCAAGGATCCAAACATTCACCACAGGCAGCAGCATCTATCTTGGCTTCTACCTCAACACCATTGTGCCTCCCAGCCATTGCCTCCTCTCCCTCACCTCCTCACCACCCCTCGCCTCGCTTACTTCCTGCCCGTGTCATCTTTCACCATCGTGTTCGTCTGCTGGACGTCTGTGAAAAAGAGCTTTATAGTTCATCGGATTCTTCCAGTATAAATATTCTCTGAACTGTTCCCAGCTCGATCGGAGGAAGAAAAGCCTCCTCGCCATTTGCCGCATATTTGTCACTTTGCTGGGCATTCGTGTCAATGATATGTCGTTTGGGCATGAGAAATTATCTTAATTTTTTGCGTGGGTGTCACTTCAGGAGACACGGTGCCACTCCTCTGAGGACGGATTTCCCAATTGTCTCCCAAGCCGCCGTGTCCCTATGATCACACATTTCAACTGCAATACCTTACGAGCATGTTGTTTCATTCAGAACACTGCTTGTGCGCTGGCTGCTGGATATGAGTTCGACTTGGCGCTGCGGTGGCGAGATGTTGACTACCTCGCCTGGTATACAGTAGGTTGGGGGTTCAATCCCGACCCTGATGCCTGCTCTATATTTGGAGTTTGCATGTTCTCCCCGTGATTGCGTCCATTTTTCTCTGGGGTCCTCCGGTTTTTCCCTCCACATTTAGAAACATGTTCTTATAGTACTGTATTTGGCTGCTAGAATTTTCCACGTGAAAAGCCACTTAATTGGGCTATCATTTGTGGCCAGGTCGTTTCTGAAGAGCTGTATAGCTCAGCGGGCCTTACCTGGTAAAATAAAAATAGTAAAATAGTGAGCGAGTCCACTAGGTCTTGTTAGACATTTGTTAGTTCATTTGGGGCAGTAATTAATCCACTTGAGCCGGACCAAAGTACACGATGACTGGTGCCATAAATGCGTGTGGGTATTAGAAGTGTGCGCAAACAGGTTCTGCATGTGCCTACTACAACAACAACAACAAAAAACACATCACCACTGTCCCCAAAGAGTTTGTTTGACCGCGTTTTCCGCATGATTGTCGGTACATTGCTCATGGAGGGGGCAAGTGCCAAAAGAGAGATCCAGGGCCCCCAGGGATTTGGGCCAGGGGGGGGGTGGGGGGGCTGTCTTTTTGTCCCCAGTGAATGAGGGAGCCCCACGCGTGGCGTTCTGCCCTGGCACGCAATCGAACTGGGACCGTCGGGTTCGTAACGCAGCGCACGAACCTGCACTTCGTCGCCACTTGATATTGATGAATTGATTGATCGTTACCCGAATATTGATAGCCATCGCAACATCGACGATGGTGACGCCAAGCGCGATGCTGTCAAAAGGACGTTTTGTAATTCAGTATTACCTGAAAACACTGATGCCTATGAGGGGCACTCTCTCACGTGGGAGAAGCTCACCTGTTGTGTATGTGTGTATGTGTTTATGTCAGCTTGCAATTATGCTCGGGATGCTGCCACGGTGTGATGTCAGCACACTGGACTTGCAATCCAGAGGTCGCCGGTTCGATCTCCCAAGCACGACAGTTGAAACAATGGAGCCGTTTCTTAATATCCTCTTGCCTTAGTCCACCCAGCAGTAAACATGTGCACCACACTCATTGTTGTTTTTCGGTAAAGTCACGTATGTAGAAAATTATATTAAAATAATAAATCACGACGTTTCGAACGCAACACAAGCGATCATCATCAGGTGTTTTACACAGGTGTTTTACACCTGATGATGATCGCTTGTGTTGCGTTCGAAACGTCGTGATTTTTTATTTTTATATAATTTTCTACATACGTGACTTTACCGAAAAAAAAGCAATGAGTATAGTAATTTATGCAGTCACGAAAGCTTCAATTCTATATTTATGTGCACCACAGTTAGTCGCTCGGCAGGTCGTATGTGCGGTGAAGTGTAGGTACTCCCAAGACATCTGGCCAGCGTGAAAGGGTAGGCCAAATGCCCCTCGAGTGGAGGCCCTTTGATGAGCAATACCAATTGAAGGGCTGCAGATTTACCCTCAGGCTCCGTGTCACCATCCTCTGTTTTGTCTTATCCTGCGCCCTGTCTTCAGCTGAAGTCAGCAAAACGCAGCTGTGCACAAGCACTCGCATATATAGTAATAACATTCCCCAATTCACAGAGCAACCGACGTTCGGCTTGCATTTGTAAATTGACCGGTAGACTTTGGAACATGGAATGGGGTGAGCAGTTTGCAAAGCCCTGGATAAAAAAAAATGCGCACGTGATAAAAATGCTAATAGAATATTTTTTTTGTAAATAAAAGAATGACAACGTTAATGACAACCCCACTCGCGAGCGAGACCGACGAGAATGATATCCTTCCAGCATCACTCACGGCAGGGTTCTGGCAACTGGGATCTTTTTCGTTGCCCCTGCCTGCAGGTTATGAACGTGAGGATTGAGTGACATCTGTAAATGTCTTCTGACAGAACGCGAAGGTCTTTCTCAACTGCCCATCTGACCCGTCATCACCATCTGATGTATATCCGCTAATAAGCGAACAGAATAACCACAGTTTTTAATGTCGATCGGTATCGATGTTACGCAAGTATTGTATACATTCTTTAAAAATAAGACGTACTTGTATTTTAATATGCTTTTTTTAACACAGCTTCTCGTTGAAATAAAACAAACTGATTTGTAATATTTCTTTTGCACATGCAGTAAACGTGTGTGCCGTCACTGATTAAACCGTGTAGGTCTTGTCTGGAAGACCTATTTAATTTGCATGCATTATATTTAGACAAGGAGATCGCTTGTTCGTTATTATCGTGGTCTCGTAAAACCAAACAATTGGGCCTTCAGGGAAAACCAGCCAGAGACATGCGATTCCTCCGCAACACTGGAACACGGCCTTTACAAATAAATCGCCGTGCACAGTGTAACACAAGCACGGTACATTGCACGGTGGCTGGGGGGGGGGGGGGAGGTGCAGGCTTGAGGGCCGTAGAGGGGACTGAGGGGCTCGCTGCCTCCTGCCGCACATGGTGAGCAGTGCACTGGCGCCTTCTTACACCCAGCAGTCTAGAAAGTGGGGGCACCACTGGGTGAGTCCATCGGCAGGTGGCGCGTAAGCGGTGTCGAGCTTGGGAACTCCCCGCCGATTCCAAGACATCTGGGCCAGGAGGACAACGATCCTCGAGTGGAGCCCCCGATAGCCAGCAGTGGCAAGAGCAAGCTACACACACTATAACACTGTTTTTAATTTTACCAGGTATGGCCAACCGAGGCTATATAGATGTGTTTCAGAAGCGAACTGGCCACAAGTGATTCGCTCAACGAAGTGGCGTATCATCATGTCGAATTTTAGAGCAGAAAAAATACTCTGAACGCACAATGTTGATTCTAAATGTGGAGGCCCCGGAGAAAAATCCACGCGACCACAGGTGGAGAGGACACGCAGACTTCGAAGCATCGGGGTTGGGGTCAAACTCACGACCTCCTGTATACCAGGCGAGATGGATAACATCTCGCTGACGTGGTGCCCCAAGCTACTGCAGGGCTGCGCCTTTAGCTTCACTTACGGATTCGTTGGTTTGCCCATCACTCCATTGTGTGCGGTGCTAAATTCAGCATTACATGCCAGCCCAGTGGTGCTCATTCCACATTCCTATGGTGGAGTCGAGTCTTTTCATTGGACAATCTCCTCTGACTTCCTCACAAAGTGGGTACCTAATTTATCGACCCCGGAGGGACGATGGGTTGAATCGAGGTCTCTTGTTACACAACAAAGCAGAAACCTATCAGATTGTACACAGATACGGCTTTTTAATCAGATATTACAGTCGAAACATAGAATATTTGAAGACAATCTAACGTAAGCAACTTAAAAGCAAAAGCAATCCGGCGAAGATGATACTGAACACAATGATACGTCAATTAGACATCATGTGACCTTAAATGGGGGGGGGGGGGGACGCGGGTATATAATAGACGACGTTTCAGGCAATGGCACATACCTGTCAACCCATACGGTTTTTACCCCGTATTCTTGTACAGGGAAATTTAGTTTTCAGCTCCATACGACGTACAGCCGTTTCAATGCGGGCAACCATACAAAAAAAGTCTTTGTGTTTCTCCCCTCGTGATGGGACTTTGTAGGCTGAACGTTGAGATGTATGAGGTCACGGGGTGACCAACAAGGTCTCACTTGGTGTGTAATAAGGTAGGGCAGCACTGAAAAGGGGTTGGCACTTCATCAAAGGGTCGCGCCACTGGGTGCCCCTGCACGATGGGGCTGTAGCCCAGGGGGTTGACCGCCAGGGGGCTCACGTCGATGGGGAGTGCGGGTGCGGAGTGGGGTGAAGCTCTGACCTGACGAAGGGCCCTTGCCCGAAACGTCACTTTACCCCTCGTCTATGCCCGTGTCGTGTCTTGCTTTCCCCAATACCAATACCCGCCACTCGCCACCAAGTGACGATCACGTCACCACGGCGCCTGTGCCAGGCTAGGTGCACTTTGAGGCCGCTTGAAGTGACGAATGCTCGCTGACAGGTGTCGGGACAGACCCAACAGGTACCACGGGTTGACTGACTTGAGATGAGTGGCTGATGCACCACCTGTGCCCCCTACTGTGCCAACTTGCTGTGCTTTCGCCACCTGGCGCTCCGCTGGGCATGCGGGCTATATGACCCAGCCAACACAGCCTCGCCTGCCGGAGGAGCTCACCGATGGGACTTTGTCCAGATCTTACAAGGATTTCTGAGCTCCTCACACAATCCAGCCTGGTTAAACCCAGGATGGATCGTAGGCAGGCCAACCTAAATATTTCTAACCGGCGAAGATGTTCCATTAGGGGGGTCCACGTTTTGCAAGCGTAGAGAAGGGAGGGAATAACTGTGGCCGAGAAGACCTGAAGCTTCGTGCGGAGCGACAGACCAGGTAGCTTCCACACAGTTCATAGTTAATTTATTTGGTATAGCCCTGTGAGCCATTCGGCTCTTGAATCGGGTGGAACCGCAACAAACAAAAAAACATGAACAAGAAAACATCTTAAAGTGATTATGTGACTGTGCAAACAGAAAATCCAGGAAAAAACATCAAAAATATTCCTGAAATAGCACCGTACACCAACGCTGTGTGCAAAAAATCCCAGTGGGATGCAAGTCAAAATAACAACAACAACCACAAGACAACTAAGATAACGGACATCAGTCTAACTCCGTATACAATAAACAAAAACATGGCCAAAACAAAAAAAATTCGAAATCACCAAAATAAAAGCCATAAATGCAATGTAACAGTGATCATAGGGACTGTGACCGATTTTTTAAAAATAAACTACATAAATAAATTATAACACTAAAATCTAGAGCCATATTTTAGGCACAGCATTACGCAACCGATGAAAAGATAATGCCACTCAACTGATTCGGAGTGAGACCTCTGCTGCCAAACCGGAGTCGCTCATGAGCACACTGCCCAGGTTTGGGAAACTCTCCACACTCTCCACAACTGCCCTACCAATTGGGAGTTGTGGGGGTGGAGTGTCCAATGGTACAAAATACCAAGGCAGGTGCTTAGTTTTGGTGGGGCTGAAGGTAAGGCCCCACCTCTTAGTGGTAAGCTCCAGGTTCAGCAGCAGCGCCTCCAACTCCTCCTCTGAATTAGCAGCTATTACCAGATCATCGGCATACATAACATGGTTGAGCAATAGGGAGCCATCCGTTGACCACACTCGGGCATCGATCAACCTCCCATTGTATCTGTACCAGATGGAAATTCATCCGGTATAGCTATTGAAGGCTTCACGAACTACGTGGTCGAAATAGATGTTAAATAATGTGGGAGCCAGAGGACATCTCTGTCGCACCCCAAGGTGTACAGAGAATGGCTCTGACTCCCGGCCACATCGTTTTACCCGGGCCCGCTCACCATCATGAAGGTCCTTAATGATCGTGAGCAGAGGGTCAGGGACTCCAAAAGCATGAAAAACAACCCAGAGCCCAAGCCTACTGAAGGTATCATGTGCCTTGACCAGGTCAATAAAGCAGAGATGTAGGTCTTGTTGGAATTTCCTACACCTCTACTGTAGCAGACGGATGGAAAATATGGCATCTGTGCAGGACCGCCCTTTCCTGAAACCACATTTGGGGCTCCGCAAGCCTTTCCTCAATGTGCCTGGCAAGGTGATGTTGAATAATCCTTGCCAGGAACCTTTCCCGGCACACTGAGGAGTGAGATTCCCCTGTAGTTGTTACAGTCTGTGCGGTCCCCCTTCTTAAAGAGGGCGACCACCAGGGCATCCTTCCAATCCTGCGGAACCCGTCCAGTGGTCCAGACTGTTGTTATGATGTCATGTAGGGCAGTCTGTGCACAAACTATGGCACAATGGGCTGGAGGATGTCCCTCAAAGTTCATATCCTTGATGCTCATCTTGATAAATTCAAGGAGAACATGGAAGCGTACTCGGAGGAGCAAGGCGAGCGCTTCCACCAGGATATACTGGACTTTAAACGCCGCTGTGGTGCCGTCACAGCAGAGCCGCTCCGTCGGAGCTGTGCCCACCGCCATGACGCCGCCGCCGGGGAGTGACGTCGCCGACGCTGCGCGCCCCTCGCCGCCCCCCACATGAATGCACGCACACCCCACGTAGAGCCGGGAGGGAAGGTCACCTGGCCGACAGGTTTTTATCCAGGAGCCCCTAATGGGATCAAGCTTCATGGTTTCCTGCAGCCGGGAAATTGGGCGATCTACCCCCGAGGCTGACATGCACCACGGCACCGTGACCTGATATTAAAGTTGCGTGGTCACGGCAGGGGCCGTTGAGCCACCGCGAGTGGAACCACACACACACAAACACGAGTCAATGGGCTGATAGCGGGAAGAACGGAGAGCGGACGTCCAAGGAACCACCGCGGTGACGTCGCCAGAGTAGGATCCGAGTATCGAAAGGGTGGGAAAATCCAGGCCTCTGACTGGACAGGAGGCCAAGGGGGTAAAACAACGGAATGCCTTTGTTATAGGTAGGATATAAGGAGGTGGATTTCAGGCAGTAAGGGGAGTTCTTCAAGACATCGAGAGCAGCGGGGTGTTGGAGTCAGCCGTTCGAGTCGTCCATGTGAGGAGCTTCAACGCAGCCAGGCACCATCCTCCACGGAGACGACCCACAGCATCACCCTTCTACAGCTTTCGGCGCATCAGAGTGGAAGTAAGGTGAGTGTGGGCTAATTAATCAGAGGGGAGAAAGTGGAGCGCCAGGCAGAATAAATTGAGTCCAGGATCCCCGAAGTATAGGCCAGTTAGGGTCTGCTGACTCACACATACACACGTAGTTTAGCGGGTTATTCGCGGGGAATAAAACCGCCAGTAGAGGATAAAACTGTGTCGTGTGGTCGCTGTGAGTGTTGAAAGGGGGGTAGAGTGATTTATGTTCCTGGGCATACGCGGCTGTTTACGGCGAATAGGAGAGTGAAGCGCCTAGTGTCCGCGTGCACGTGCGGCTGTTTAGACGGCCTTTAAATCTGCTCAGAGGTGTCCCCGCCAATCGGCGACGAACGCACGGTGGGCGCCCCTGCCCTCTGACCCCTGACCCCAAGTCCCTCGCGTGTGATTGGTGTACGGAGTCGGGCAGGTAGCGGCGTCGGGTTTGTTAGCGCCTGGGTACGTAGAGCGTGTGTACGAACGGATCCCGGGGGGCTAAGCGCTGGCTGCGGAGTCACACGTCGGCGCGCTGTACCCTTTCGTGCGCGCACGAGACGGGGTTTTACTGCACGGGCGTACTCACCGCAGCGGGTCCGCCGCCGAGCCGCGCAGCGCGCCGTAGGTGTGAAGCAGTCGGCCCCACCAATTGAACCATGCGCACGCGGGCAGCAGCAAAGGCGGGAGCACAGGGGGGCGAGGATTTGGAAGTCTATAGCCCGAACCCGACCGAGCAGTCGGGGAGGAGTAGCATAACTGCGACGGAGGAGCCTGGTGATGGTGGGATTAGGACGGTGGAGACGGGGGGCAGCAGCCCCCACAGTAGCGAGGTCGTAGCGGGGGAGTCGGGGGACAGCGGCCCCGACAATTCGGTGCAGGCGAGGGGCAGCAGCCCCCGCACCGCTACCAATAACAGTATACAGTGAGGGAAAAAAGTATTTGATCCCCTCCTGATTTTGTACGTTTGCCCACTGACAAAGAAATTATCAGTCTATAATTTTAATGGTAGGTTTATTTGAACAGTGAGAGACAGAATAACAACAACAAAATCCAGAAAAACGCATGTCAAAAATGTTATGAATTTATTTGCATTTTAATGAGGGAAATAAGTATTTGACCCCCTCTCAATCAGAAAGATTTCTGGCTCCCAGGTGTCTTTTATACAGGTAACGAGCTGAGATTAGGAGCACACTCTTAAAGGGAGTGCTCCTAATCTCAGCTTGTTACCTGTATAAAAGACACCTGTCCACAGAAGCAATCAATCAATCAATCAGATTCCAAACTCTCCACCATGGCCAAGACCAAAGAGCTCTCCAAGGATGTCAGGGACAAGATTGTAGACCTACACAAGGCTGGAATGGGCTACAAGACCATTGCCAAACAGCTTGGTGAGAAGGTGACAACAGTTGGTGCGATTATTCGCAAATGGAAGAAACACAAAAATGTCAATCTCCCTCGACCTGGGGCTCCATGTAAGATCTCACCTCGTGGAGTTGCAATGATCATGAGAACGGTGAGGAATCAGCCCAGAACTACACGGGAGGATCTTGTCAATGATCTCAAGGCAGCTGGGACCATAGTCACCAAGAAAACAATTGGTAACACACTACGCCGTGAAGGACTGAAATCCTGCAGCGCCCGCAAGGTCCCCCTGCTCAAGAAAGCACATATACATGCCCGTCTGAAGTTTGCCAATGAACATCTGAATGATTCAGAGGACAACTGGGTGAAAGTGTTGTGGTCAGATGAGAACAAAATGGAGCTCTTTGGCATCAACTCAACTCGCCGTGTTTGGAGGAGGAGGAATGCTGCCTATGACCCCAAGAACACCATCCCCACCGTCAAACATGGAGGTGGAAACATTATGCTTTGGGGGTGGTTTTCTGCTAAGGGGACAGGACAACTTCACCGCATCAAAGGGACGATGGACGAGACCATGTACTGCCAAATCTTGGGTGAGAACCTCCTTCCCTCAGCCAGGGCATTGAAAATGGGTCGTGGATGGGTATTCCAGCATGACAATGACCCAAAACACACGGCCAAGGCAACAAAGGAGTGGCTCAAGAAGAAGCACATTAAGGTCCTGGAGTGTCCTAGCCAGTCTCCAGACCTTAATCCCATAGAAAATCTGTGGAGGGAGCTGAAGGTTCGAGTTGCCAAACGTCAGTCTCAAAACCTTAATAACTTGGAGAAGATCTGCAAAGAGGAGTGGGACAAAATCCCTCCTGAGATGTGTGCAAACCTGGTGGCCAACTACAAGAAACGTCTGACCTCTGTGATTGCCAACAAGGGTTTTGCCACCAAGTACTAAGTCATGTTTTGCAGAGGGGTCAAATACTTATTTCCCTCATTAAAATGCAAATAAATTCATAACATTTTTGACATGCGTTTTCCTGGCTTTTTTTTGTTGTTATTCTGTTTCTCACTGTTCAAATAAACCTACCATTAAAATTATAGACTGATCATTTTTTTGTCAGTGGGCAAACGTATAAAATCAGCAGGGGATCAAATACTTTTTTCCCTCACTGTAACGAGAACACGATGGGAGACTACATCTGGGGGCTGATTCGTCAAAGTGATTTACGGTATAATCGTAATTCTCGAAAAACTACTCCTAAATCTTTTGTAGTCATTTTTGTATTACTTTAGTATAAATACATGTTCATTTTTATTCATGTTTATTTTCTGACTTTATGTGAACGAAAATACACAAATTCGTCCCCTTTTCTCATTGACAATAGGTCAATTTCAAAATTACACTGTCCTGGTCACAAAAGCGAAGTTTGTGAGGAATAATAGCCATTTTCTATACTTTTTAGGCATAAGTAATGAGGAAATAACACTTACTAGCCAGGAACTAAAATTGTGTTACATAGTGTTGTTATAGCGCCTCTAGTGTTGGGGGGGGGAGAAAGTGGAGTCCGGAACATTTTCGCCCGGCACCTTTTAACGACGCGGCCTACGCGTTTCCCCCCGGACCCCGCCTCGCGACTTGTTTACGTTTATATTTCCCAGCGCGCTCGGGTGGAGGGGGCGGGGGAATTGGGGGGCGGGGGGAATTGGGGAGCGGGGGGAATTGGGGGCGGGGGGAATTGGGAGGCGGGGGGAATTGGGGGGCGGGGGGAATTGGGGGGCGGGGGAATGGGGGGGTGGGGGGAATGGGGGGCGGGGAATTGGGGCGGGTGGGGGAAATTGGGGGCGGGGGAATGGGGGGTGGGGGGAATGGGGGGAATTGGGGGGTGGCGGGAATGGGGGGTGGGGGGAATTGGGGGGTGGTGGGAATGGGGGGTGGAGGAATGGGGGGCGGGGAATTGGGGAGTGGGGGGAATTGGGGGGCGGGGGAATGGGGGGGTGGAGGAATGGGGGGCGGGGGGAATTGGGGGGCGGGGGAATGGGGGGGTGGGAGGAATGGAGGGCGGGGAATTGGGGGGGGGTGGTGGAAATTGGGGGGCGGGGGAATGGGGGGCGGAGGAATGGGGGGTGGGGGGAATGGGGGGAATTGGGGGGTGGGGGGAATGGGGGGAATTGGGGGGTGGCGGGAATGGGGGGTGGGGGGAATTGGGGGGTGGTGGGAATGGGGGGTGGAGGAATGGGGGGCGGGGAATTGGGGAGTGGGGGGAATTGGGGGGCGGGGGAATGGGGGGGTGGAGGAATGGGGGGCGGGGGGAATTGGGGGGCGGGGGAATGGGGGGGTGGGAGGAATGGAGGGCGGGGAATTGGGGGGGGGTGGTGGAAATTGGGGGGCGGGGGAATGGGGGGCGGAGGAATGGGGGGTGGGGGGAATGGGGGGAATTGGGGGGTGGGGGGAATGGGGGGTGGAGGAATGGGGGGCGGGGAATTGGGGAGTACGGGGGAATTGGGGGCGGGGGAATGGGGGGTGGAGGAATGGGGGGCGGGGGGAATTTGGGGCATGGGGAATTGGGGGGCGGGGGGAATTGGGGGGCGGGGGGAATGGGGGGCGGGGAATTGGGGGGGGTGGGGGAAATTGGGGGGCGGGGGAATGGGGGGTGGAGGAATGGGGGGTGGGGGAATGGGGGGAATTGGGGGGTGGGGGGAATTGGGGGGTGGGGGGAATGGGGGATGGGGGGGATGGGGGGTGGAGGAATGGGGGGCGGGGAATTGGGGAGTGGGGGAATTGGGGGGCGGGGGAATGGGGGGTGGAGGAATGGGGGGCGGGGGGAATTGGGGCGGGGGGAATTGGGGGGCGGGGGGAATTGGGGGGCGGGGGAATGGGGGTGGGGGGAATGGGGGGCGGGGAATTGGGGGGGTGGGGGAAATTGGGGGGCGGGGGAATGGAGGGCGGAGGAATGGGGGGTGGGGGGAATGGGGGGAATTGGGGGGTGGGGGGAATTGGGGGTGGGGGGAATGGGGGGTGGAGGAATGGGGGGCGGGGAATTGGGGAGTGGGCGGAATTGGGGGGCGGGGGAATGGGGGGTGGAGGAATGGGGGGCGGGGGGAATTGGGGGGCGGGGGGAATTGGGGGGCGGGGGGAATTGGGGGGCGGGGGAATGGGGGGCGGGGAATTGGGGGGGGTGGGGGAAATTGGGGGGCGGGGGAATTGGGGGGTGGAGGAATGGGGGGTGGGGGGAATGGGGGAATTGGGGGGTGGGGGGAATTGGGGGGTGGGGGGAATGGGGGGTGGAGGAATGGGGGGCGGGGAATTGGGGAGTGGGGGAATTGGGGGGCGGGGGAATGGGGGGTGGAGGAATGGGAGGCGGGGAATTGGGGGGTGGGGGAATGGGGGGGGGGGTGGGGGGAATGGGGGGCGGGGAATTGGGGGGGTGGGGGAAATTGGGGGGCGGGGGAATGGGGGGTGGAGGAATGGGGGGTGGGGGGAATGGGGGGATTTGGGGGGCGGGGGAATGGGGGCTGGGGGACATTCGCGATCGCCGTGGTAGGGTGAGGTGGGAGGGGCCACGGGGGGCATGGGAATGGGGGGGGACATTTGCGATTGCTGTTGGAGGGGAAGGTGGGGGGGGGGTACGGTGCGGGGGGGGTACGGTGGGGGGGGGGTACGGTGGGGGGGGTACGGTGGGGGGGGGTACGGTGGGGGGGGTACGGTGGGGGGGGGGTACGGTGGGGGGGGGGTACGGTGGGGGGGGGTACGGTGGGGGGGGTACGGTGGGGGGGACGCGCGCCATTGGTCCGCGCCGCGTGCTTCGCACCGCCCTCAGCCAATGGGAGGCGAGGAGGCTCCATCCACGCGTGGGGTCAGAGGAGAGAGGAGGACGCGGCGCCTGTGTTGGTGGTGTTGGCGGACGAGGTGGACGAGGTGACCCCGGGACGCTCGTGCCGCGTGTGCATTTCACGGTGACGACGACGACGTCGTCGACGACGTCTCGCGCCTCGCGCTGCGGGTGGTTGCGAATCGTCAGTGCGGTGGAAGGTGCGAGACGCTCGCGACGCGCGGCTGCGAGGCCCCCTCAAGGGCTCGCAATGGCCGTGTCGTGGGGGGCAGAACGTCGAGGCAAACGGCCCCGTGTCTCTCTGTCTCTCTCTGTCTCCGTGTCTCTCTCTCTGTCTCCGTGTCTCTCTGTCTCCGTGTCTCTCATGTGAGCTTGGGGCTCACGGTGGCCGTGTCGGCAATGCCGAGGAGAGCACCACGGAGATCGCGGCGGCGTTCAGGGGTTTGGTTTCGTTGTCATTCCACGGTTTCGCAATGGCCGTGTCGTGGACCTTGATCAGGAGCCCGCGAGCCACGGGGGGCGATCCCCGCGAGCCACGGGGGGCGATCCCCGCGAGCCACGGGGGGCGATCCCCGCGAGCCACGGGGGGCGATCCCCGCGAGCCACGGGGGGCGATCCCCGCGAGCCACGGGGGGCGATCCCCGCGAGCCACGGGGGGCGATCCCCGCGAGCCACGGGGGGCGATCCCCGCGAGCCACGGGGGGCGATCCCCGCGAGCCACGGGGGGCGATCCCCGCGAGCCACGGGGGGCGATCCCCGCGAGCCACGGGGGGCGATCCCCGCGAGCCACGGGGGGCGATCCCCGCGAGCCACGGGGGGCGATCCCCGCGAGCCACGGGGGGCGATCCCCGCGACCCTCCTTGACTCGAGGGCCACAGCGACCGTGTCGGATGCTGAGGCGGCGTTGTCAACCAAATCCTTGGTTCAAGCCCCCCCCCCCCCTCCAGGGGTCTTTGCTGTGCTCCTCTTCATAATCGGCCCTGTCGGAGACACTTGATGCGTTAAAAGCAATGGTTTTAAGGGACATTGCGACCCGTTGTTTACATTAATTTATTTTACAAAACATATTAATGGTCGCTTCTCCTTAAGATGTGCCCTATGCAAACCAGCCACAGGTTACCGTTCTCAGGCCGGGCAGCTAATGAACGCACAAACGCCACGGTGTTTTGGATGATCACTCGGCAAGTCCCAGTGACTCGCACGGCCTGGGAGAAGTCTGCGTCCAGCAATGCATTGGCAGAGGGTTGTTCATTAATAGTTTTTATTCCAATCTCTGCGCACCCTAACATTTTTATTTGATTGTCATGCCACTCAATTTTACGGTCACGTCAACGTTCTCCCCCCTACTGGGGGATAAGGGGACATAGAAGGCACCGATTTCATTATTGGAAGGGTCGCAACGCAGGTTAATTAGATACAACAAAATAATGTCCTCTTCCCGCAATCCTCGTTGTTACAACGCAGTAGCTCAGTTTTAAGTGAAGTATGGGGTTGAAAAAGTGTCTTGCAACTAGTCCTGCCATTTGCTGCTAATGATGAAACATTGCTTAGCTGCAAATTAAAAACATTGCAGACCTGCACTTTGGAGGTCGTTAAGCACAAATCAGCCTGACAGTGGAATAATCGAAGTTGTTCTTGATGAAGTGTGATGGAAGGCTGCGTGGTCCAGTTACAGCGATGATTGTGATGGTGACATTGGTGATGTTGATGGTGTTCAAGGTTGCCATCGTGAATGCTTATCGTGCTAATGTTGATACCTGCATTCTGCAGCAGGCGAGCGAGGTGAAGCCGGGCTGGCAGGCGATGCTGCAGGCATGATCACCAAGGTCTACTTCCCGGGCTGCTGCCTGCTGGCTGAGAGCGGGCTGCTGCTGGGTTGCCGAGACCCCGCATCGGGCTCCGTGCTGGTGCTCGCCGTGTTGCATTTCCCGTTCGTGCCGGCGCGCGTGCGTGCGTACCTCGAGGGGCTGCATGTCTCCTCGGGGAAGGACCTCCGCGTCCTCGGCTCCTGGGTCAACGGGGCCCTCGGTGCCGCCGGTGCCGCCGGTGCCGGTGCCGCCGCCGGTGCCGCCACCAGGGACAGGAGCGAGGCCACGGCGTGAGTGGCGACGCGTTCGCGTCCCGCACCTCCTGTTAGCATGGTTTGGCTACGTACGGTGCGGAGTTGAACATGTCGCGTGCGCGAGCCCTGGGCCACCTTAGGAGAACAATGTGCTTCAGGATTTAAGAAGAAAGTGCACTGCGTAGAGATATGTGTATTATGAAAATGTATAGTAGACTCGATTATCCGCGCTAATTATGGGGAGGATGGCTTCGGATAAGTCGAAATCGCGGATAATCCAATAATATACATTTTCCACGGATCACTAAGCCAAAAACCACTAATATAGAGTAGATATAAATAAAATTAAAGTTAATACAATTGACTTCATGAAGAAAACTAACATTTGTAGTAAAGAATGTATTGATCTTGTTTTATTACAAAAGTCCATACAAAAACACACTCAAACAGGTTTATAACAAATCCTAATTTAAAGTTTAAACAACACACTTCCGTTTTTCTGCCATTGTAAATTAAAATGAAGCACAACTGATGATTTATATTGTTACCCTTTCGATTTAGAAGGAACACTAACCATCGACCGATCGATGCGCGTGCAGTGATAACACTTTCCTGCTCCCGCACAGAAGACTCGACACACTAAGTGAATGATTGCTGAGCCACGCCAATCACCATCAATCAAACTCCGCCACCCACTGTTGTAAAGATATGCAGCTACTGTACTGTAGAGGCAATCACGTGGATTTCTGATTAACCGGATCATGTATTTATTCGGTTTAAGCACGTGACTTGTAATAACATTTCCAAGAATAAGAATGTATAACTCTTTTTTGATTATTAATAAGCCCTTAAGGGAAATTCCACAAGTTATTAATTTATGTCAAAATCTCAGGTGCACGGTTAATCCGCAAATAGGATAAACCGCACGTGGATAATCGAGAGTCTGCTGTATTTGACTTTAATAATTACTGGTCTGTAGGATAGTGATGTCAATGGCCAGCATGCTGCACTGTGAACATGGTGACACTGTGTTGTGAACATGAATTCGATTCCCCAGCAGGGCTAATGTCAGTGGAAAGTGAAAACTGAACCCATCTTGGGTGCCCGCTTTAACAACTGCCACTGAGCAGTGTAAGTGAAGTATAGTCAAACAACTCGCGCGGCCAACACAGCCGTGAGGTCTTAATCCAGCAGTGGATTCACAAAGGCCTTTAAAAAAAACATTATACCTTAGTATGCATTCCCGTGTCACTTTTCCGAGATAAACTCGCAGTGGGAACGTGATTTCAAATCCTAGTCAAGGGACAACTCTAATCGCCAGCCCTTAACAGTTGATCAAATGAGCATGACATTGTGCCTGGCCAACAGTAGAGGTCCCATGAAGATCCTCAACGTCCACCTGGCATCTTCCGGAGATGAACATTTACCCTAACCCATTTGATCAGGAAGGCACTGACTTTGCAGTGAAAACTGAGATGATCTGTCTTTTGTTCTAATTGGGGATTTCCACCTCTGCTCGAGCGCTTGCCACATGCTCCTTACTGTCTACATTGTTCACCTGATCCCAGTGGATTAGTTGAATGTTCCAACAAGCGAGGGTGGGCCCTGTGCACCATTCTGCAACGTTATTGAGTTCACGGCCAAAGCTGAGAGCGCCATCTTCTGAGACCAGCGTGGATCGTACCCACTAATTGAAAAATTAGGTTTGTCATACTTAGTCCCAGAGTACTTGGTAACTTTTAAAACTGTGGATTTTTTTTTTGGTTTGGTTCTTTTTTGAAAACAAATTCATTAGTATGTTCATGTGTATATTAGTGTGAGTAAATTGGTGTAAATTTGGCTGCATTTCCTAATGCTACAGGAGGGCCAAAGAAGATGGAAACTTCCTAAAAGATCTGCGCGAGGTGTTTGGCCGTGACGTCTGGGTCCACATTTTCAAGCAGACGAGCGAGCAGCTTCCCCGCTCCTGCCAAGTGTTTCGCAAGGCCGGCCCGGTGACGATGGGAGCCTTCGCCCGTTTGGAGCGCGACACGCACCCCTACCCGCCTGCCGAGGGTGCCTGGACAGAAGACGGCGACTCCTGCAGCGTCATCTTCATCCGCTACGACCAGCGGAAAGTTTCGCTCGCCAAGTGGCTGGCTGAGGGTTCGGAAGTCGAGGATCCTGAAGAGAGGTCTTGCACCGATCCCGATCCGGAACAAACCTCCAACGCTTCCCTCGGCAGTTGGGATGCGGAGAGAGTCGAAGTTGTCGGACAGTCGAAGCACGATGATAAAATCAACTCGAGGAACCTCACCGCAGAAGGGTTGCACCTGAGACGGCCAGATCCCAAATCCTCCGGCACCCGTAAGGACGCGACCGAGGACCTGCAGGCAGGCGAGCACGACCCCCGTCTTCGTCCAACTCCGTCTGCCGAGCCGACGCTTGAAGACGACGACGACGACGACGGCGGCGGCGGCGGAAGCGGCGGCGGAAGCGGAGGCGGCGAAGATGCGGCGGCTGCGGAGGTGGCGGCGGAGAGCGCCGGGAGGAGGGACGCGGTGGGGCAGCCGGTGTCTGAGCTGGCGTTTGTGTTCGGCGCGGCGTCGGCGTGCCACGAGCTGTACGAGCTGGACGAGTACAACGAGGGCCCCGTGCGCACCAGCCACTGGCAGTCGGGCGGGCGCGAGGGCAGCGTCGTCGTTGAGCTGGTGAAGCACGTGTCGGGCCCCGCGTGCGCCGTGCTCACGTACCTGCTCGCCGGCGTCGCCTCCGTGTTTGGGAGCAGGTCCGTGCGCCGCGTAGGCACCCCCCCCCCTCGCGCTTCAGAATCGGAATCGGGATTTTTATTTACATGGCAGGAATCCGATGAGAGTTATTAAGCTCTTTTTCACAGATGTCCAGCAGGGGGCAGGTCAGAATGTTACAGCAACAAAACAATACACAAACACGATCGGAGTGCAGAGCATAGGGAAGTTAAACGCATCACTGACAACAATATACAAATAAAACTAAACTATTTTGTTCATCTTACTGAGCTATTAGCCTCTTTATCAGAAGCTACCTGGCCACAGATGATAGCTCAACAATATGGCCATTTATAGCAGAAAAACTATATAGAATCAGCCCTTTTTTAACCCACTCATGGGAGAATTAAACACCTGGTACCTCCACTTGTTCTATAGCATAATTAACACTTTGGTGACTTGAAAATCCATTTCAGATATAAGTGGTGTGTTTGTATTATACAGCGTGTTTATCGGAACGTGCGAACACCCTTATCAGTGGATGTTACAAAATGAGAAGTAAATTTCTCGTCAGACGCTTAGAGTAGTCTGAGCCAGTCCAATAAATGTTACCGCACCGACCACCAAATGACTGATGAACCATGGAGGCCTGCAGGATTGTTGAATCATGTAGTTATTACTTGACAGTAAAGCAGGTCAATTGTGTTCACCCTTGCATTGGCCCGTGTCCTCGTCACGTTGGTTTACGCGTTTGTATCTTGTGTTCGCAGGATGTTCTGGTTCTGGCCCCTGTCCTGGCTGTGGGACAAGCTCTCCATGAGTCTGCAGGTGCGGCACCGCCTCGCACACCTACGGGAGGTCTTCAGCACCGAGAGGGCCGACACTCACGTCTCCTTCATGAGGTGAAGCTTTGGGACGGGGTGGAACTCCCGACTGCAGCGTGGCGCCAGCTTCGTCGCAGCTCTTCCTTGCGCTACGGCTCCCATTGCCGTGCAGCACGGGCGTCTTTAGTTTGCTCTGTTTTGCGTTTGTTGTTCGAATCGCCCCCACGTCATCATCATCATCAGCCATGATCAATCCACTGTTGGATGAAGGCCTCTCCCAGGCGTCGCCATCTCACGGTCTTGTGATGTAATCACCCATCTAGTACCCGCAACTGATCTCGCTGCTCCATCTCTGCGGTGGATGTATTCTCGGGGCACGTTCCCTTCTTCGGCTGCCACTCCCCACCGGTAGTCTCGACCATCGGCCATCGTCCCTTCTCGCAACGCGCCCCGCTCAAGCACCCTTTTCTAGGAGGCCGTACGGAGTCTCTACCTTTCGTATGTCCACTGATCCATGCATTCCTGCTTCTCAGTGCAATTCTATTCTCGCCTCATTTTATTGAGGTCCTTCATCGATGCCCCACTGCCGTTAGTAGTGTTATATAATAAAATAATCATCTCATATGAATGTCCTATATAATATACTAACAGATGCCATCGCCAAATCATGTTTTTATGTGGCGCTTAATGGATTATAAATGATCCCTCTCTATGAGCCATTTAATTCCTCGAATCTAATACATAATCGAGAGCAGATGTACATTCTCATGATGTTTTGATAGTAGCCAGAAAGCTGAAATTAGCACAAATGTAATCAATTTTATTCCTCTAACTGGACAAATGATGAATGCTTTGTCAACGGTGATCTATTTAACTGGTTAGGCTGTTGCAGGTTTATTTCTCGTGGCATTGCCCTGTCCTGACGTGCGACTCGTGATCGGGCGCGCAGTGGGTACCCCGTCGTACGTGACCACCGCATGGGCAATCAGAGCCGCGAGTGACCCTGCGCCAGGGACGCGCCCCCTCGCCCTCGTTTGAAAATCGCCGCGATGCGCCGTTGACCTCGTGGGATAAATCGGCCACGTTGTGTCCGGGGTTGCTTGCTGCCCCAATGCGAACAGAAAAGCCAACGTGCTGTGCTCCCTGCTGATCGACGCTGTGCTGGGCCTGTTCATCGTGTCCCTGCTGTACCGGGAGGACCGCATCTCGCTCATCGCCGATGCCCTTCTGCCTCTTGCGGAGGTGAGGAATCCCGACAGCCGCTCGCGTGAAAACGACCCCGTGGGCCGGCCCGGCCCTCATGTGCGTCACGCGCATTGGACGTGTATACTTTCTTCCGTTGCCGCTGTTGTAAGAGCCCTGTTTAAAACGGGGGTCGGGGGGGGGGGGGCGGTGGCTCTTCAATATCTATAGAATATTTTATACTAATTCCGTAGACCTTTGATGATCCATTCCTGCGTGAATGCCTCCCCCACTATTTATCTGTCATGGGAGTTGTTTTACCACACTTCACCACACGGGTGAGTGCAAGTTTGGTGATGTGGGGCAGTAGGGGGGTGGGTGGTCACAGAGTTGGTTCGTTTGTCACTTGCAACTCGTGTTGGCCATGATTGGAAATTCAATTCGGGTAGCCAGGCTCACAGGGCAGTGCATTAACTGCTGCACCACTGCTCCACCTCATAACGTTAGCCTTCAATTCAAGGACGATATGTTGCTTATAAATAAAATGGCAAATACCACACACTCCTAAAGGTGTAACATTTGGGATTTGGCCAGAGGAATGAACTGCATTATAAATGAGCTGTGCTCTGTGCTCTTGCACAATAAGTTCTCAACGTATTAACCACATTTTAAATTCCTGCTACACCTCAAGGGAAGTATCGAAACAATTAAGAAAGCATTTAATTTGTTTTATGTCCTTAAGTGTGTTGTTTTCTTTCGTTTGAGCAGTATGGCAGTAAATATTAGTTCACAGGAAATGTAAAAAATGTTTTAATACAAAGGCAACCTTTGCCCAGAATGTTGCTTCGGAGCTACGCAGCCTACTGCAGTGGCTCATGGGAGTTCCCGCTGGCCTCAAGTTGAACAACGCACTCGACCAAACGCTCGGAAGATTCTTCCTCTACCACATCCACCTCTGGCTCAGTGAGTGGCAGCACACACGCAGACTCTGGGCCCCACCACGAGAATGTAGAATTAACATTAATGAATAGAGATGTAGCTGTAAACACTGAGACAAGAAGGCTTTGTGCCAAGTGTGTGCACCCCGGGTGTGAATTGCCCCTCTCACACTCTTGATTATTCTACAGTATTCCCTCGTCATTCACAAACTTGCAATCCGCGATTTTGGCTATCCGCGAATCGCATCTGGAAATCTACACGACTGCATTGAGAGAGAAAGTGACGAGATAAAGTGATGAGAGAGAATGCGATGCGTGAAAATGATGATGCGCAAACATAATTTAATGTTAGTGAATTTATTTTTAAAAAATGTATACTTTAATATGTATTTGTATTTGCTTAGACCAGAGGACGCCTTTTGGCGTCTAACACTGTTTGAGACTAGGCTCAAAAGAAAGCTGTCTCTGGTGTGGACCAATCAGTTTCAAGGACAATGAATACATTATCAGAGTGTGTTTTTTGTTTGCATTCTGACCACAAGTATTGTGGTTAATGCAGACATGATTCCTTGTAAAAGGTTCAGTTTGATGTTTTAACGTCTTAACACACCTGTTTTTTTGACAGAAAAAAGGGGAAAACCTATTCTCATATTTTGGTACTGGCAAATGAGGTCCCATGATGATTTTTAAGCTTATTTACGTATTTATTTAAGGTAATTCATTGAAAAGATAGGTTTGCGTAGGCGATTATCATTACCTGCAAAATGTGCTATTCACGAGCATCTCCGGAACATGTCCCTCGCGAATAACGAGGTAATGTACGTACAATTAGGTCCAATTGTCATTGGCTAAAACCTCTGGGTTCCTTCTATGATGCACCTTCCGTGCCACTCACAGGTGTGGAGCAGCTACCCCCCCCCCCCACCCTCTAAGCCACCCCCCCCCGTCACACACAACTTCCACCTCCCATACCTTCCGGCTCAACACATCGTACGTTATTAACTTGTAATGCTTGCTGGAGAGTTACAGACAGTCCCATCGGCTTTCTAAGCGGCGTTCAGCGGTTCCTGCTAGGCACTCTTGAGCCACACCCTGCACGGACGTGTCGTTGGGCGGCGCGCGTGCGCAGGCTACCTGTCAGTGCTGGCGCCGCTGGTGCGGCCCGTGCTGTGGCACGCTGGGCTCTCTGCCTGCCTGGGTGCCTCCATCCTGCTCTCCGTGGCGTCTGACATTCTCTCGCTGCTCACCTTCCACATCTACTGCTTCTACGTCTACGCCGCCAGGTGTTCTAACCGCACGCGGCCTGCGCGGCTACGTAGCCGCCTCGTCCGACTGACCGTCTTGTCCGCCATCTGCCTGTCCGCTCGTCTGCATGTCTCGCTGTCCCCTGCCTGCCAGTTTACAGTCGGTCAATGCGCTCGGACAGATGGGGGGTCTGTTGTATTGATACGTAATGACCCGTGCGTATGTGGCCTCGTTCCTCGTATCATTGGCAGTAGTAAGGGAGCAATTGGCACTTTGATGAATGATGTGCCTGTTCACAGGTTTAACAGATTGTGGTTATTGGTAGTGTCACACCGATGCTGTTACTAACGTCGTGAGTATGACGACGAGGTAACGTCACACTCAAGGAGTCTGTACCCACAGATTTTTGCTTTCCAATCACAAAAAAATGTTTCAGTTAAACAGATGCTTTTTTTCACCTGTTCCCATACAAAAAAAAATAAGTATTGTCCACAACTATTAACACAGTACCAAGGTTAGGAATTGAAAGCGCACGACTAGCTGGGATACATGCTGTGCCCGTAAATTCTGTGGCCTCATTCTATCGACAGCAAGCAGTATAATCCAACCCGAGATTGGTCTATTTAGACGTCTTCACACTTACGGCTCATTAACCAAAAGTTATTACTCGGTTGGGAAATAAACCGGACATCAAACGAACGGTTCCCCTTCCCTAAAGGCGTGTGTGACCTGACCAGGAGATGGTGGGAAACAGTTTCAATGGAGAGATCGGTTTGGTGATTTCTCTCTAGAAACACCTATCGGTGGATGGCAGAATTATTTTTTAAATGACATCATGATACTGTTGATTTATTGGAAGATACTTTGATAATCATCATTATCCCACCACTACTATTGATATGTTCAATGCTTTGTTTGTAAAGCCCCTCTTTTTAGAGAGTAACCTTCCTGTGCACACACCCATGGTGCTGAGATGTACGTTGAACTTCTTTTGCACCGTACGTAGCCGGCCGTGCCAAAAGGATATGCGGTCGTAATCGTTTGAGGTACATTGTTTTGCGTCGTCTGCATTTGTCGGGTCTCCAGGCTTTACAAGCTCATGGTGTACGGCCTCACCTCCCTCTGGAGGCTGTTCCGAGGCAAGAAGTGGAACGTGCTGCGACGCCGCGTCGACTCGTGCTCCTACGACGTCGATCAGGTCGGGCTCGGCCAGGGGACAACGGCCGTCCGTCCGTTTTTATTTCACGTGCCGCATCCATTGCTTTCCTTTAGAATTACACCAGCCTTGCGGAGCCGCACTCCGTTGCCACAATCTGGGGATTATGTTAAAACCCTCCTGCCATTCGTATGTGTACGTCACCAAAACGAAACCGGAAGAAATACTAAAATAAAATTACTTTATTGGAACCGATCCTCCCACAAGGCCATGCGGGGGAGGGAGTGTGGCACGGTTTGGCGCCAGCTATCATAGAGTGCGGTCGTGTCGCTACGGTTCTCTGCGGTGAGTACAGTGCATTGTCTTTAAAAACAACGGCGCTGCTCTAAATAAAATTAACTCTGAGCCGCTCGCGCGTTCTGAGATTCAGCGGTGAACGGTACCCCATCCTGCATCTTGCAGACGTCTCGGAACGTGCAAGGGTTAATTTGTCCAAGTCGCGGTATTTGGTGTAGGTCGGCCTGGGTGGGGCTGTGGTGTGGGCACTTGCCTGCCGATCAGAAGAATGTGGGTTCACATCCAAGTCTGGGATCAATGTGACCCATACACTAGGGGAGTTAAAATGAGTGCTACTTTGCGGGTTTGGTTATTCTATTGAGAATCCTGGCCCCAACCGCGTGAATATAGATTACCAGTAATTTAATAACCCTATGCAAGTGAATTTTAATTGAAAAGATGTTTGTATATTTTAAACCTATGGACATAACAGTAATGTGCCCATATGTCTAGTGTGGGTGCCACGGTGGTGAGATGTTAATTGCCTCGCCTGGTATACAGGAGGTCTTGGGTTCGATCCTGACCCTGACCCCTGCTGCTGTACATTTGGAGTTTGCGTGTCTCTCTTCCCGTGGTTGCATGGATTTTTCTTTGGGTCCTCTGGTTTTTCCCTCCACATTTTAGAATCAACATTACGCATTTTGAGTATTTGGCTGCTATAAATGTCCTCGTGATGATAAAGCCACTTCGTTGAGCTATCATTTGTGATAGCCAGGTCACTTCTGAAAAAGAGCTATATGATAAAATAAAATAAATTGTTTCGTTTATATTAATCGAGCACATGCCAGAAAGACGGACTTCTCACACTTTTCTGTCCGTGCAGCTCTTCCTGGGTACCCTGCTCTTCACAATCCTCCTGTTCCTGCTGCCCACGGTGGCGCTTTATTACCTCGTCTTCTCGCTGGTGAGGCCCCTCTCTCTCTTCGCGTGTGCACTCTTCTGGCCGTGCAGGGCGAGCAGTTGAGGGCGTGGCCAGAGCTGGCTGCTGAGTGCCCTCAGGGTTCAATTCTCGCCGCTCGATCTGCAGTTGTAATTGTCCACTGCGGCTGGTTTGGGCTTTTTCTGACTCAGATCTGCCTTTGCTCACCTAGTGCGGTCACGATAACCAAATGGTCACACTCGTGGTTTCATTAATGCATAGCACATTTTTGTAAGGTGTGTACTTGGGAATTTTAATTTATAGTACACTGTGAGCGGTGACGAAGTGCTTCGTGCACAGTGCTTTAAACCCATCAACCTGAGCTCGACTCGCAACCGTGGCTAACATCAGTGGCGAGTATGTCTTAACTGGTTCTGGGCTCCCCCCCCCCCTTCACCAGTTTAGACTAACCAGTACTGTGAAGTATGGTCATATAACCCTCGTGACCCACGTGGAATCGTGAGGTCTTCGTCTAGCCGTAGATTGACAAGGGGCTGTGAATTATTATGATTAACATTAATTTGCGTGTGTTTCCCCACAACTCAAACGTTTGTGTTTTCTTTTATTCATTCTGTCACCACTATCGCTGTTTTTCTACACCCTTGTTGCTTTTTCTCGGTGCCCTTCCGTGCCTTCTCCCCGCCTTCCTCCATCTCGCTCCGCCTCCCTCGCGCTCCATCCTTCCTATCCCACCTCTCTTCCTCCCTCTCTTTCCTCCACCCCCACGCTGTGCTCACGTGGCAGCTGCGTCTGGCGGTGGTGGTAGTCCAGGGCGCCCTGCACCAGCTGGTGGAGCTCATCAATTCGGTCCCCACCTTCGCGCTGGGACTCCGAATCTGCCGGGGCTACCGCTTGGCAGGTGCGTGTCTCGCTGGTGAACGACCGACAGCGCCTCGCGTGGTTATTTCACGCTAGACGGTGCCAGCGTGTCCTACCGGCGGGGTAAACCCCCTTCTCTCGACTACACTCGTGCATAAAACTGCAGAGTTATTGAACGAGTGACCTGAAGCCTTGTTAGGCCTTGCCCTTTACAACTCGGTCATGTTTAACCAATAAAAACTCGGCCACTATGCTTGTCCATCGGCGATCATCCCTTACTGCAACGTGTCCTGCTCAAGCCCATTTGCTTTTCTTCACAGTTTTAATACCAGTCGCAGCAATACTATTCCCAAGACAAATTATGATATTAATGTGAATAAACTAAAATGGTTATGGCCACAAATCATCACGAATATTAAGTGGGGAGACTCATTACAGTCCTACTTGCGACCACAGTTATTGAGTTGTGATCCTGATCAAAAAAAGCTGTGTTGTATGTATGTTGAACTTCTTTCGCACCGTCAGTAGCCAACCACATTAATCGGAGGTGTGGTGGAAGGACGACAAACTAAACGCAAAAATCGGTTCAAAAGAAATTAGTTTTCAATCTAGATGATTTAAAAGTGCATAGCTCCTAGTGGCTTCCTAATATTGGAAGGAAGAGCGTTCGAGACGGGCGCAGAAGCGCATCTGTGTTGAACTTAACCCTTACGTAGCTGCTTACTGATGGAAATGCGTGATTAGGTTTGGAATCGGTGTTCCCAGGTGTGTCCTATGCTATTGGCTTATCAAGTCGTTTTTTTTTCTTTAGCTTTCATTTCGCTTCATGCATACTTCAAACTGGTTATACTGGGTCTTTAAATGTAATATACCTTTAATAAATTGTACACCAAGATGTTTTACAGATGTACAATACGAGATTTATTGGGTGGCTTAAGCGCTCATAATTCCTCTGTCGCAGCTCAGATCCTGGATTTGTATGCAGGCTTTCACCCGTGATGAAACTGTGCTGTCAAGTGTGGCAAGTTGAGGGCCTCGGCCTGATCAACAATGACTGCACAAGTAAATAGTATGACTGGCGTCACTTCTATAACGTTCAGAATTTATTGCGTTGAATACTCTCTTGAACAGGGTGGCGCCCTCTGGTGTACTTGAGAGAAATTGGGCGACTGGGAGAAATTTCCCTGACGTCTTCAGTCGTCATTTAAAGACACAACAACGTTGTTACGCTGCCCTCAAACTAAACTATGAACTATTTTTTTTTATTTCGCCAGGTAAGGCCCACTGAGCTACCTAGATCTTTTTCAGAAACGACCTGGCTATCACAAATAATAGCTCAACGAAGTGGCTTATGGAGTGAAAATTACAGCAGCCAAATACTCTAAACGCATGTTGATTCTAAATGTGGACAGAAAAACCGGAGGATCTGAAGAAAAATCCACGCATCCACGGGGAGAACATGCAAGTTCCAAATATATAGGCATCAGGGTCTGGATCGAACCCCACGACCTACTGTATACCAGGCGAAGCAGTTAACATCTCGCCACCGTGGCACCCACACTAGAAATATCTGCAAGGAAACCTCTGCATTTTGTAACACGACAGGGCCAGCACAGTTGGGAGTATATGGGAGTAAACAGTCATTGGGGCAAATAGCTAAAAGCTCTAAGAAAAAAAGTGGAAGGGAAATAATCAAAACAAAACAATACAATTCTCACGACGTTTCGGCCACAACACAAGCAGCCGTCCTCAGGTGAAGAAACAGAACTGTCGGAGCGCTGTCTGAGAATTTTATTTTATAATGTTTTATTTGTATTATTTTATTATTTCCCTTCTACGTGACTTTACCAAAAGAACCAAGAAGATGAATCCCTGCAGTTACGAAAGCTTTAAATCGAAAAAAAAAGTTATTAACAGTGTGATGTATATGTGTGCATATTGCATACACAAGTTATAGCAATCGTATTGAATGTTGTGAAAAGTGGCCACTTCTCTCCATGGGGTGATGTCCGATGGTCAAGACTAATGACAGAGTGGCAGCCAAAGGAGTGAGCACACGCGTGTAGATGGAGCGATGACACCAGCTCACGTGCAGGAGCTATATGGATTGTCGCATCTTAGGACCGTACATAGCCAACCGTGCTAATCGTAGGCGTGATGGCGATGATCTTAATCGAGCAGTGAATAGATCATGACTGATGATATGAACAGGATACTCGGCCTATAACGATTCAGCCATCTTGCAATTCGATGATTTGTCACGATTTAGGGTTGTGAATTGATTCAATAAACTTTTATATGTTTTTTTTTTAATTGCTGGTTAATGTAGCGCCTCTAGTGCTAGCAGGAGTCACATGGACCCATTATAACATTATCACAGGCATGAATAGATGCACACATATCGTGAGCGTGAGAATGCATTTTGTTCACAGAATCAATGCATTATCGCACCAATGCAGAATGCATTGGTGCGCATTATCGCAGCGCAGTCGACTGTGGCAAGGAAACCCAAAATATGCCCTGTGGACAGAAGAGTCCAGAAGAGTTTAAAAGCAACCGGGAGATGTGCACTGCCTGGACAAGTAGCCCGCATCTCCGAACCGAGCTCTGGATTGAGCAAGATAATGCACCGACTCTGTTTGAATCAGTCGCATGCTTCAGAACAGAGCGATTGACCATTGAAATATTTTACAAGTAAGACTTAGGGTGGTGAAGCATTATAATTGCCATTCCTTTTCATGCAATGATTGCCACCTTATGCAGAAGCAGAGCAGACAGACTGAGCAATAAAATATATTAACCAAATACTTTTGGCTTTCACCAGACGGTATCACGATGGAGGTTCTGGAACAGAACTCGAGCAGGATTCTGCATCTGGACATGCAGGTAAAAACTGAGTCATGCGTCTTTTCTTTCATGGTTATGTCATTTGAATGTGTCTTCTAAAATGTTTACAAATTTCTGCACTCTTTGGTTGCACCCCTATGAGGCACAGATCGAATCCCCTTTCGGCTAGGAAAGCAACGATCCCTTCCGTACATTATAAAAAGTCCCGGCCGTGTTTTTGGCAACACTGAATGGTTGTTGTGTTTTTTTTCCTCCTCTATGTGGTAAATGACTCTTAACCACACCTCAAAGTGGGCACTCTGAAACACAGGGTTGGAATTCATCTCGTCTCTGCAGTGTGTGCGTAAGCACCACACACCCACCCCACTAAGCCTGTACAGTGCAGGAGGTGGGGGGGGGACTCCATCTTTAAATTGAGGTTAATTCTTATGTTCTTTAGATGATTGCAGCCACTTTGATTGCAGATCGTAGTAGTGGCTGTCTAGTTTATTTTGTTGCTTTCCCTAACTGCACTGGATAAGCTCAGTGGGTGGGTATTTAATACACAACACCCCTGTCTGGAGGCTATGATAATCAAAATAACATGAGGGCATAATTATAACTTTCTGAAGTAGAATTTCAAGTTTGTTTGCGACCCAGCGGTGCAGCATTTACCATAGCGAGTAACCACTCTTTAATCTCGAACTCTGTTGCACATTTTCCCAACTGAAAACACTTAAGTCACGTTTTGAAAACTGAACATCTCCAAAATAAGTGCTTAAATTTTCAGCTTGATCTATTTTACTTAATTTTTCACAGTGTAGCTTTCCGTCCTGTTGCCGGGTTTTTTCCACTTGTTGTTTTGGCATGCTGTTTGATGTTTCCCTCCGCACGCTGGGAGCTTCTTCAGCGACCGAAGTGTGTGTTTTGATGGTCCAAGTACGATGGTGGGGTTCGCCCACCCCTCGCTATTCCTGCTCCGTCAGTGTTGCAGTGCCACCCCCATGCGTTCTTGTTTCGACCTAAGACCGATCCCCGCGCCGCTCATTTAAACACCGCGCCGCTCATTTAAACACCGCACCTTTTTGTGTGCTCGCAGATCCAGCCACTGTCACTGACGAGTGTCCTGCGGCGGTACCGCCTGCCGACGTACAGCAGCTCGGCGCAGCACTCGTGGCTGTCACTGCTTGGCAAACTGTGCGCCGGTGACCTAATCTACCCGTGGCGGCACAAGGACGAGAAAGTGGAGTAGACGCCCCAGAGGTCACGTGCACTCGAGCGTGCACGGAGGGGCACCCGCCCGTCTCTCGGAGGCAGTTTACGCCGTGGTGGTGTCGGTGGCGTCGGTGGCAGATGCGTGGGGCCCATGATGACGCAGAATGGATCTCTGTGGTCCTAGTTCTCATACAGTGCAGCAGTCCACGTTTTTTTTATTCCTAAAACAAGTGGGCATAGTGTGTACATATACAGCCCCTTTTGTCGGTCCACTAGATGATTGCCTCCCTACGCCACGCAGGCAATGGAGGTAATTTGACCATACTTCACCACGCACGTCAGTTCTAGTTTGCGAAGGCAGGGAGCTTAGAAATGCAGTTCAACAATGTATTTTGCCCGCACTGCCCTCTGCTGCCCACAGTGCCTGAAAACACCCGTTTTGGCTTGGCGATTGCCAATCCATCCTTGCTTAGCTTCTTTGAGCTGATGAGATGGCATGCATTCCAGGTGATTTGGTTATATGCCAACACAGTATGCTTACTACATTGTTACGTGGAGATTGTCAGGAAATGGATCAATTTGGACTGGTGGAATGAGAACGAGTGTCTGAGAGCCCCGTAATTTAAAAAAAAAGCCTCCACCGGCAGCATCGACGTTTTTCTTTAGTAACGTGTGTCGTCTTAAGTCTCCCCTGTGCATTTATTGGGTTTGGACGAGGCCACTTGCCTCGCTGTCCGTGTGCCTGTGCTCCCTCTCTTACCCTACGCGTTCTCCCCGTATCCCCCGCCCCCACGTGCTCCTGTCTAGCGGATTGTCGTTGCCATTAAGGATACTTCCTTGTGTGCCCATTGACTCCCTAGATGCCATGCTGGTACAAAAACAAAACAAAAATATACATAATTCCCTAATACTCAGGTCTTAGTTGCAAGAGAGATCTCTCAGTGGGCTCACACGTGGACAGAACACATTGGCGGCGGTCACCGTTATTACACCCGTGTGTTCCCCCTCCTGTTTATTAATTCCTTGATGATGTGTGCCCTACTTTTGCCGCCCCCCCCCCCGCACCATCGCCGGAACCTTGTTTAAATGGTCGTTCCACGTGTCACTCTTGTGATTTATGAAACCCAACGTGTCTGCTCTGTAAAATTAGATAATGCCCTTATGGGCATCTTTTTTTTGACGCGGGGGTTGGGGTGGTGGCGGTGGTGGTGGTGGGCCCTTGGGACACGACCCAGTCCGGGACCCCCGCCGCCCTCCCACCCCCTATCGGTAGTTGCTTTGCGGAACCGCGTTTCGCTTGAGAAAATGAGAAGCGAGACGTCGCGCACACACACATACACAAGCCGCCGCCACCACCCCCTCCCGATCAAAATTATTCTACATGCCTCGTGCATATGAATACATACTGTACACCGTTGTAAAGTATGGGCTATCCTGTATATGTGCTGATTTTTCGTCTGCTTTTTGGGACCATTTTGTAAAAGTGACGTTTTGAGATCATGGGAGAGATAATGATGATGGCACGTTTATGACCTTAACTGTTATTGTGCTCGTCTTAATAAACAGATCGATGTAACTGTTAATAAAAAAAAATGTGTTTTTAAGGCCAGTTTTGTTTTGGTGTGGAGTACATATTTGTATAAAAACAAAAAAATCTGCGCTCTAAATGAACAATCTTTAGGTGATTTAAATGTTCTCAAGTTTGTACGACTTGGCATGAAAATTAAGCAGTATTTTATTATATTGATTTTTTTTGTCGACAGCATCGTCCTAATGTTGTATTTTACAAAAAATAATAAACGAGTGGCAACGTCTTCTCCTTCATCTTCTTCGTGTGTGTGCGCGCAGCGATGTCTCGCTTGAAAATCGTAAGAATCCTAAAAATCCTGCTTAGCGCAGGAACAGTGTCGTGTTTGTGGTTTCGGCAACCACGTGATAACAACCGCCGAGAAATCCTTCAACCACGAACTGGATTTAGCCAAACTGGCCCTGGTTTCTGTCTCGCACCACATTTCAGAGAGAGAGAGTAAAAAAATTCCCTACTGTAATTTGTAAATGCTTTCAGATTATCGTGGCGTATTCTTATATTTGAACACACGTGATGATGATGGGGGGGGGGGGTTATTTTCTCACCCCAGGTATTTTGTCATGGTCCTGTACGACCAACCAGGCAACTTGAATTTGCACTCGTTACAACGGTGAACGTTTATCAGTGCCCGTGAGTTAAACGGCCCTTCATTACTCCGTGTTTAGACAAAACCAATCCAGTCTAAAATGACAGACATTAGGAAGGCGTTCACGTGTGTATTTAGCTTAAATTTGTTCAATGTCACTCCGTGGAGATACATATTACAGTGAATCTACGTGAATTCATTAAAATGATGAATTTCCAAATAGATGTGTAAATGTCCAATTACTGACTTTGAACACGTTTGTGCTGATTGTACACGTGAACACCCTTCTAATTTAAACGTGAAATAGTGTCATGTGGTTCAGAGTGGGGGGGGAGGGGTTATACTTCACCACGCTGGTCGGTTCGAGTGGATTGATGGGGGGATAAACTAAATTAAAAGATGTCATTTATAAATGTAACATTTTTACGTAATTTAGATCTTATTTGAGCAGGATTTTTTTTCCCCTATAATACACGTTTTCGCTTAAATTGAAGTCTCTTGCTGTTATACCCCACTGTTTAAGGGAATGTTATTTAAGACCCCGAATGTCTCTGTCTCCGCTCAAAGGGGTAGGTAGCCCCCCAAATGTGACCCGCCCCCCCCCCCAAGACAAAGATCCCCCGTATAGCCTGAACAGACTTTTAGGGAAAGTGCTGTTAGCGAGCACCAATGCATGCCGGTCACGGCACACAAGGGGGTGGGTAGCCACTACCACGCCCGGCCGCCTTTGTCTCCCTTAGTGGCGATGCTTACACACCGCACCAGGTACTCACTTGAGATCGAGTCGACCTCGGGGGAGGCCCTGGACCGGTTCAGATAAGTGGTCACCGGTGTTGACCGTGAGTGGGAATCGAATTCGGCTCGCCAGGTCAGTAGTAGTGCAGCGCGTTACCACCCAACAACAAACCCCCGTGGTGACGTCACCACACAGTGTTGATGGTGGTGTTGATGTCAACAGCACTGTGAGTGTAACAGTGGTGGTGGTGGTGTTGATGGTGGTGTTGATGTCAACAGCGCTGTGAGTGTAGCAGCAGTGGTGTTGATGGTGGTGTTGATGTCAGCAGCACTGTGAGTGTCACAGTGGTGGTGGTGGTGGTGATGATGTCAGCAGCACTGTGAGTGTCACAGTGGTGGTGTTGATGGTGGTGTTGATGGTGGTGTTGATGGTGGTGTTGATGTCAGCAGCACTGTGAGTGTCACAGTGGTGGTGTTGGTGTTGATGGTGGTGATGATGTCAGCAGCACTGTGAGTGTCACAGTGGTGGTGTTGGTGTTGATGGTGGTGTTGATGTCAACAGCACTGTGAGTGTCACAGTGGTGGTGTTGATGGTGGTGTTGATGGTGGTGTTGATGTCAGCAGCACTGTGAGTGTCACAGTGGTGGTGTTGGTGTTGATGGTGGTGTTGATGGTGGTGTTGATGTCAGCAGCACTGTGAGTGTAGCAGTGGTGGTGTTGATTGTGGTGTTGATGTCAGCAGCACTGTGAGTATCACAGTGTTGGTGTTGATGGTAGTGTTGATGTCAGCAGCACTGTGAGTGTAACAGTGGTGGTGTTGATGGTGGTGTTGATGTCAGCAGCACTGTGAGTGTCACAGTGGTGGTGTTGATGGTGGTGTTGATGGTGGTGTTGATGTCAGCACTGTGAGTGTAACAGTGGTGGTGTTGATGTTGATGGTGGTGTTGATGTCAGCAGCACTGTGAGTGTCACAGTGGTGGTGTTGATGGTGGTGTTGATGTCAGCAGCACTGTGAGTGTCACAGTGGTGGTGTTGATGGTGGTGTTGATGGTGGTGTTGATGTCAGCACTGTGAGTGTCACAGTGGTGGTGTTGGTGTTGATGGTGGTGTTGATGTCAGCAGCACTGTGAGTGTCACAGTGGTGGTGTTGGTGTTGATGGTGGTGTTGATGTCAGCAGCACTGTGAGTGTCACAGTGGTGGTGTTGGTGTTGATGGTGGTGTTGATGTCAGCACTGTGAGTGTAGTAGTGGTGGTGTTGGTGTTGATGGTGGTGTTGATGTCAGCAGCACTGTGAGTGTAGCAGTGGTGGTGTTGGTGTTGATGGTGGTGATGATGTCAGCAGCACTGTGAGTGTCACAGTGGTGGTGTTGGTGTTGATGGTGGTGATGATGTCAGCAGCACTGTGAGTGTCACAGTGGTGGTGTTGGTGTTGATGGTGGTGATGATGTCAGCAGCACTGTGAGTGTAGCAGTGGTGGTGTTGGTGTTGATGGTGGTGATGATGTCAGCAGCACTGTGAGTGTCACAGTGGTGGTGTTGGTGTTGATGGTGGTGATGATGTCAGCAGCACTGTGAGTGTCACAGTGGTGGTGGTGGTGTTGATGGTGGTGTTGATGTCAGCAGCACTGTGAGTGTCACAGTGGTGGTGTTGGTGTTGATGGTGGTGATGATGTCAGCAGCACTGTGAGTGTAGCAGTGGTGGTGTTTGTGTTGATGGTGGTGATGATGTCAGCAGCACTGTGAGTGTAACAGTGGTGGTGTTGGTGTTGATGGTGGTGATGATGTCAGCAGCACTGTGAGTGTCACAGTGGTGGTGTTGGTGTTGATGGTGGTGATGATGTCAGCAGCACTGTGAGTGTCACAGTGGTGGTGGTGTTGATGGTGGTGTTGATGTCAGCAGCACTGTGAGTGTCACAGTGGTGGTGTTGGTGTTGATGGTGGTGTTGATGTCAGCAGCACTGTGAGTGTAACAGTGGTGGTGTTGGTGTTGATGGTGGTGATGATGTCAGCAGCACTGTGAGTGTCACAGTGGTGGTGTTGGTGTTGATGGTGGTGTTGATGTCAACAGCGCTGTGAGTGTAACAGTGGTGGTGTTGGTGTTGATGGTGGTGTTGATGTCAGCAGCACTGTGAGTGTCACAGTGGTGGTGTTGGTGTTGATGGTGGTGTTGATGTCAACAGCACTGTGAGTGTAACAGTGTTGGTGTTGATGGTGGTGATGATGTCAGCAGCACTGTGAGTGTCACAGTGGTGGTGTTGGTGTTGATGGTGGTGTTGATGTCAGCAGCACTGTGAGTGTAGCAGCAGTGGTGGTGGTAGTAGGAGTGTAGTAGTGGTAGTATAGTGGTAGTGTAGTGGTGGTAGTAGTAGTGTTAGTGTAGTGGTGGAGTAGTAGTAGTGTAGTGGTAGTAGTGGTAGTGTAGTAGTAATAGTACTAGTTGTGTTAGAGTGGACTGTTATTGTGTAGTGGTAGTAGTAGTGATAGTAGTAGTGTAGTGTTAGTAGTGGTAGTGTAGTGATAGTAGTGTTAGTGTAGTGTTGGTGGTAGTAGTATAGTAGTAGTGTAGTGGTAGTAGTATAGTGTCAGTGATAGCAGTAGTGTTAGTGATAGTAGTAGTGATAGTGTTAGTGTCGTTTTGGAGTGGTAGTAGTAGTGTAGTGGTAGTAGTATAGTAGTAATGTAGTAGTGATAGTAGTAATAGTAGTGATAGTAGTGTAGTCTTAATAGTAGTGTTAGTGTAGTAGTAATAGTGTTAGTGTAGTGTTGGAGTGGAGTGGTAGTAGTAGTAGTGGTAGTAGTGATAGTAGTATAGTAGTAGTATAGTGTAGTGATAGTAGTAGTAATAGTAGTGATAGTAGTAATAGTAGTGATAGTAGCATAGTAGTAGTAATAGTAGTGTTAGTGTAGTGTTAGTAGTGATAGCGTTGATGTAGTGTAGTGTTGGAGTGGAGTGGTAGTAGTAATAGTGGTAGTAGTGATAGTAGTAGTAGTGATAGTAGCAGTATAGCAGTGATAGTAGTAGTAATAGTAGTATAGTAGTAGTAATAGTAGTGTTAGTGTAGTGTTAGTAGTGATAGTGTTGGTGTAGTGTTGGAGTGGAGTGGTAGTAGTAGTAGTATAGTAGTAATAGTAGCATAGTAGTAGTAATAGTAGTGTTAGTGTAGTGTTGGAGTGGAGTGGTAGTAGTAGTGGTAGTAGTATAGTAGTGATAGTAGTATAGTAGTAGTAAAGTAGTGATAGGATAGTAGTAGTGATAGTAGTATAGTAATAGTAGTGTTAGTAGTGATAGTGTTGGTGTAGTGTTGGAGTGGAGTGGTAGTAGTAGTGGTAGTAGTATAGTAGTGGTAGTAGTATAGTAGTGATAGTAGTATGGTAGTAGTAAAGTAGTGATAGTAGTATAGTAGTAGTGATAGTAGTATAGTAGTAGTGTTAGTGTAGTGTTAGTAGTGATAGTGTTGGTGGTGTTGGAGTGGAGTGGTAGTAGTAGCATAGTAGTAATAGTAGTATAGTAGTAGTGATAGTAGTATAGCAGTGATAGTAGTATAGTAGTGATAGTAGTAGTAAAAGTAGTAAAGTAGTAGTGATAGTAGTATAGTAGTAGTATAGTAGTGATAGTAGTATAGTAGTAGTGTTAGTAGTGATAGTAGTATAGTAGTAGTAATAGTAGTATAGTAGTAGTGATAGTAGTATAGTAGTAGTATAGTAGTGATAGTAGTAGTATAGTAGTAGTGTTAGTAGTGATAGTAGTATAGTAGTAGTAATAGTAGTGTTAGTGTAGTGTTAGTAGTGATAGTGTTGGTGTAGTGTTGGAGTGGAGTGGTAGTAGTAGTGGTAGTAGTATAGTAGTGATAGGAGTATAGTAGTAGTAAAGTAGTGATAGTAATAGTATAGTAGTAGTGATAGTAGTATA